TCGCTTTGACCATGTCACCTGTTTTGCTTTGTTTTTTTTTTTTCTTTCTTCGATACGGGACCCATCTGATCATTCTAAAGACATCCTTACCTATCAAGGGCAACAATTGGACTGTTGTAATTCGTCTTGTCGTATCATAGCCCGTCCAATCACGTTGCGTTGGTGACCCCCTTTTCAGCCTCATCTGACAGAAGGTCTGGACCCCTCGACGGGCAGATTCAGTGGTTATGCTTACCTCTATTGCTTGTTGGTTACGGGCTAGCCTGAGCTTAAAAGACACCGAGAGTCCTGTCTGCCTGCCTGTCTGAGTAAAAGGCAAGGTACCATACCATGAACTATTTAGCCAAAACCGAACAAACCTGGTGCTGTCAGTACCACGCGCCCAACGCCCGCCGCCGCTTCTCGGCGTTATATCACATTCACCAAAGATCCTGGCGGAGTTTTTGTGGTAGAAAAGGTTGAGGCCGCAAGGTTAGGTCAAGGGATCGGGCTTAACACATTCTCGTTTTTGTGCCTCATTTTATCCCAGCACAATAATGCATGGCGCCCAGTCCAGACTCTGACGATAGATGAGTCTCGGCGAACCTTGGCGGAGGCCAAGATGGACGGACTTTTGGCTCAAGATGCGAAGCAAATGGCGCTCCCTCTAAGCGAGGCCACTGGCTCTTGTTCTAATAAAGTCTTCTCGTGGCGGTGATGGCTTGGTTTGTAGCGTAGCTTTCCTTGGGTTGAGGTTTGTCACGATGCAGAGTAACGTGTGATGCCTCTGGGCCTGCCAAGTTGCACTAATTCACTTGAGCTGGTGGGTTTCTGTGGCCCATTCCTTGGATCAACAGGTCACGGAACTTTTATCTGACAGAATTTTAACCTCGTGGTTTCGGTGACAATTAAGCTTAGCATCAGGGTTTGCCGTAGTACGAGTAACATGACTGGGCATTTAGTGATTGGGTTCTCACCGGATTATGATGTATGGTGTCATAATTAAGAATACCAGGCAGCATCAGCAATAATGTCAACGCCAACGAATGAATGAATGAATGTGAATCTTGGTTATCCTTTGCTGAGCCACCACATTTGACGATATAGGGTAACGTGTTAACAACCCCTTTATCTGCCTGCCTGGCTGACTTCAACCTTGTCGGCTGGACGGGTAGATCGGCGACATTTGGATTCTACCATGATCCGATTGCTGGGGTTAGCAAAAGGTCAATGTCACAATGGCACAGACTCGACGGAATAACCATCGACGCCTTCACGTCTCGACGAGATTGCTAGCAACATCTGAGAGCCCCGTCGAGCCAATCATGGCGGTTCAAGGGTTTATAATGCGATGGTTAAAACAAATAAGCATGCAGCCACCGAGCGCCAAGCTTTTTATCGGGCTGCACGGTAAAAATTTAAAAACAGAGACAAAAAGCTTCGCCCGCTGAGGGAGGGAGGGTCAGAGTTCAACCAAGTGAGCGTGTGGCGTCAGCCGAGTCATTATGGACAGGGATCTGAACGGACAGATCGGCACGCGAGAATTAGAAATATGGAGAGGCCCTGTCTAGCGCGACACCTTAAGTCCTTAACAGCACATGGGCGAGCTTCGAGATGCCGATATATCCAGATGGTGACATTGGATAGACTCCGCCATGACGATTACGGCCTATTCTTACCGCTATTGCCTCAGGTTTTGTGGTTGGACGCCTTGCGTGTGATTTAGAACACAACTTACACGGCTTATAGTGACAACTACACAACAGTAAATCGCACATATATCATCACCTCTCCCTCTTGGCAACAGAATCTCGCTTCTCCTGTCCGCGGTTAGCGGCCTCTTAGCAAAAAGCCAAGACAAATCCTTGATCCACCCGGCACCGCGAACACGCTCGGGAATAAGATGCTCAGTGAAGTGTGCCCCAGATAATGCCATACAGTCGTAATCAGAATCAGAAACGCCCATTTTTGTTTCCGCTACGTACCACTAGACCACCCCGGCAAAGCCAAAAAGCCAAGACGGTTGCGACGGCATCTCGCAGCCATACCAAGACCACATCTCGCAAGCCACGGGCTCCAATTGACGGCCAACCATGTGTCCACTGTCCTCTTTTGTGGGTTCAGGCAGGGTCTACCTTGGACTCTGAGCACATTGTCTGCTCCAGATGAGCGTCGCTGCGGCCTTGGGATTGGAAGACGCGGCTACTTTTTGTCACTTGTGCTTGTAGGGACACGCCCCAGGGCGGAATAACACCCGTGCCAAGCAAGTGGCTGACAACGCTTAAATTCATGCTTAAACCAGGGCGTTTCCTTTTGCTCGAATGAGAGGCCGCCTGACCCAAGGTACCACCTGCGCCGAGCCCTGCCCGATCCGTCTTGGCAGTTGTGAAGGAATCAGTATTTTATTAATTGGGCGACTCGTAAAGTGAGAAAACGCCATTGTCATTTCCGCGGCCATAAAGAATTTCCATGGCATCAGTGACAGTATTCTTGGCTGCGTCAGCTGCATAGAACAAGGCAGTCTGCTCAGTCACAAGCATGGCACTCTACACAAAACGCTTCACAAAAACAACAGTGCTGACTGACAAGGCTTCCCGCCGAGCCTTGGTAATCCTCACAATCCATCGTTGTTTCATCAACATGGCAATGTTATTGGAGCGTCTCGCCTGTCGTATTCCATTCTTGGTACTTGGCTGGGTTGCGTGTTAGTGTGCACCGCCCAGAGCCGATTTTCCGAGCTCAACCCTCAGACGACCAGCAGCTCAAATGGCCTTCCTCTCGCGTCAATTTCAAACAAGCATGGGTCGTCAGTGCATAGTATGTACAGTACAGTACATCTTGGCTCTGTGACACAGCAGAGTAGTATTCATAGGCCAAGCTTTAGACAAGTCTGAAAAAGCAGGGAGTTGGAGGCTTGAGCACTGGCACAAGAGGCATGGCATGGCATATGATGTCGATCCTGATGCATCGAGTCTCAGCACTGAGAACATTCAACTCCCGTTCCAGCCGAGGGCGGTGACAATCAACAACATACATACAGGTCCAGTGGTTCACAGGGAGAGATAATGATTCTTACAGCACATGCAAAAGGGCCGTGGCTCTAAAAACACACCGAGACAGAGACGAGACATTAACAAACGCCCAGCTCGGCACCACGGCACAGTCGACGTCATGTCCTGGGGACGTGGGGAATGGGGGTCAAAACCGCCGATTTTCCCGAGTTGACCTCATCTCAGGCCTTCCTGTCCACTGTAACTACTACATCGAGAGCAGTACAGAACCTGCTAATGGTCAAGATCTTGATCACTGGAACCCGTGTTACGTGTCCTGGACAATCATGAGCTTTCATGAGAAGAACAAGCATTGGACTAGAGGCGGGCGCTGTCGATCTCTCTGAAACCCTTCATCTCTGAATGGCCAAAATAAGAAACCTTCGTAGGAGAAAAAAAAAAAGACACACGGATCAGGGTCTGGCGCTTGTTGGAAACAAGCAGTAAACGAGGTTATGCCTAATACACGCATTGATGCACAGTCTAATACCTTCCTTTCTGCAACAAGCCCAAGCTCGGCGGTAAAAGCGAGAAGAAGAAGAACTTCTCACAAGCACTCTCCATTTTTTGATCCCCATAACTCACCGCGGTCAACGTTACCTGTGGTTGCATTATTTCTGTGTATGATACGACACCCGCGGAAGTGCGTGTATCACGGCAAAGGGATTTTGAGTGGGAATGCATGACAAAAGCCGCTCTATGACCGTTACCTGACATGGACATGATCGACAAGCCTCGCGCTGGGAGAGGCAGAGGCAGAAAAGGACCCCCAAATGAGGCAACTTCGTGGGTCCTTCGGAGATTCTCAAAGGCTTAAGCTTACCTTGAAGATCTCCATCAGTTGGACCCTAAACTTGAACATGTTGTGGTGCCTGGCAGACGTCATCTCGTCATCAAATGCTGAGGAAAACTTTATTTACAGGCAGACGCCCATCACCTGAGCCGTGCGTGCCGATGGATGGTGATAATCTTGCTTGTTGTTGTTGTTCTGTCAGAAGAGGAAGTTGTTTAGAAATGCTGGTTTTTGTTTGTTTCGAATGGATTTCCATAACTGAACAACGGCTATGACGATGTTGCTGACTATGGCCACCTATTATTGGGGTGGCTGTGGAGGCTGATTGCGTGGGATTGAGTGCTCACGAGCGTTGTTTTAACTGAGCCAACATCAACTGGCATGATAGGGTCTCCTGGTAGGTATCGTATACGCGCGCAATGACACTCATCTCGCTCAGAATCATGTACCGTATTGCACGAGCGTAGATCATTACATCGTCAAGTCTACGTGAAACACAACCAGCAGAGGTTACATCGAGGTTACAGGAAACGGCTCTTGAGCGACAGCAAACAATTCGAGATTGTCTCAGCTGGGCAGGCAATCAACCTGCGAGGAACTTTTTTGCAGTACCAATATCCCTGATAGTTGATCAGAGGAGACCAAGTGGGCTATAAGACGACAAAGTACATGACTCTCCCGCTCTCTGATACCGGGAACTTTTGAGGAATAACTGATCGATCTTGGCACTTACACAGGGAAATGAAGTCTGGTCCACCAAGACTTGAGTCTGTGCAATGCCATGGAGTATCAAAACCTGATATCTCGTGCGAGCCAAGACGCTTTGAAGCTCGGCCTCTTGGACAATCATAATTTGTGCTGTAACCCAACTCCTTTTGAGTCGGAAAACCCCAGATGATCAAAGAGCACGACAAATCCGAGGCTGTTCCCGACAACCCCTAGACTCGGGCCACGGCACTTGGTGCCAAGCCTGAAATTTGGAGTGTTCCAAAGCCGCATCATCCGCCAAGGGCTGACGAAACCCAAATAAGGCCCAAAAGTCACAACGTTAACACTGTAACATAGAACGGAAAATACCTTTTTATCTTTTTGGTCTCGTGCCACTTAGATATCTCTTTTAAGGAGGCATATTCCGTCAGAGACAAAAATGTCTTGCCAATTTTATCGCGAGCCAAGAACCGCTCATCATAATCCTGATAAGCACTGAGGTCTCGCTTAGGAGCATGGCCTCCTGAACTATTTCTAGACGAGACCCATCCGGCCTTATTCTGCGCTTTGTGCGGTAGAAGAACGTTGGATGATGTTGCTGCTTCTCCCACAAGCCGAGAGATCCGTTTCACGGCGACTGTCTTTTTTACAACACATGATGGACTTGTTTTTAATAGCCAACGAAATCTGATATAGCGGTGAAAATGTATCTGATACACACACAACGACCACTCGTAGAAAATCAGGCAGCCAAGACGATCAGCAGCCAAGCTTCAGTGGCTTTTCAATCCCTGCACGGGGCTTTCCAGGAGCGGCCTAAATCAGCCTTCTGATGGGTTCTAGCCCCCGTCACCTGCTGAGGTAATGGGGCCAAGAGGAGCCAAAGGACAAGCCTCGCATTGGGGATCTCAACCAGACAAAGCCAAGCCCAGCTCCAAATAAGCTCGGGAGGGATAATTGGCTTCCTGATATGCTTACTGTTTGCCGCATTGCCGTATGCAAATAAGGGTACTTGGCTTGGAGAGGATCCGCGGTGTTGGGAACCAGAACCGTCTATGACTTCTGTAATTTGGCTTGGAAGTTAAAAGAGTGCCACTGACTGAGCATTGTATTGCAGCATTGGCATTATGACATTTGCATTCTGGTCGAGTTATTGTTGGTTGGCGCAAGGAATGGTTATAGTAGTATTTATGGTTATTCTTAGTGGTGCTTGGCATTGGGCACTGTGAGACCTTTTTTTTTTTTATCTTTCTACAACTACAGGCCAACCCCAAGGCAGGTCCATCCATCCATCGTAACCTTACTTTGACTCAACATGGTCGGCATTGATCTCACGAGACTTTATATTTGCAATGCATTCAATTTAAATGATGAACAAAGTTTTGACTCACGAAATTTGACTCACGAACTATCATCGTCTCGACTCAATCATTCGCCAGACGTTTCAGAGCAAGCTTCTCCCCTCCTACCAACGAAACGACCCCTCAACCTTCGCAGCGTAAATATACATATATAGCTCCTCATCTCGAGCCGTCTATCCGAGTGATTGCGTTTCCCTTGCACCTTCCCTCGACTCGCTTCTCGATAGCTCGGAACCCTAACGCTCCGTCTCGTATCGATAACGAAAAGACCTCACCTGCGCCAACTCGGATATATGGCAAAGGGTTCAGCTCTAATTATATGCCCCCCCGTATCACGATACCTTAGGTAGTCAGAAACAGCGAAACAACAAGCCGGTCAGACGGGCGCACCGAAACGTCACCGGCGCACGTTAGAATTGCCTGGGAACGCCTCCCCCACGACTATATCTCCCGCTATTGGTAGATTCAGCTAGCCTTTCGAGGTTCCAGACTCTTGCTATCCTGGGCGCTATCAACGCCAGCGTGTGACGGGCTTCATCATACGGGTAAGCTTCTTAATTCTACGCAGAATAAGCATTGCATTGCATTTATTGTATCATGAACCTGCAAACAACACAGTGGCTGTCAGTCGCAACCACAAAGTTCCTCCACGGATACCTCATTCCTGTCCCCATGCTACAACCTCCCACTACTGATCCGATAGCCGTGATCTGTCATGCATTTTGCTCCTTCTTGCGCCTATCATGCCCTTTCTGGACCCGACACTGCCCTGGCCCTGCATCGTCATCTTTCCCTAAAGCCCCTTGGTGGTGGGTCAGCTTCAAAAGCTTGTCCTGACCAACCTAAGCTTAGACGAGTCTTAGACGCTCTCAATCTCACCCCTAGGCAGTGCCTATCTGCACACCATCCATCCCCTTGACATCCTCACACCCTCCTTCTTTGCCGTCCTCCGTGCTTCTCCACACTCCCGGCCATGTCGTCGCCGAGTTATCCACCACCGACCTTACGCCTCCAGGCCTCTGATTCCCTTTTCTGACTTGCCTTTGCAACCTTATCTTGCTCTTGGCCCCTCCCTGTCTTCCCGTCTTGTCCGAGGACACGGTTCATTAAACCCTGCTGACCTGTTTCTGAACAAGAACAAGAAGGATAACACTGCTTGTTTTCTGATCTTTTCATAACATAACATTCCATTCCAACATTACATGCTCGCTTCTTGTAGCAAATCATCGGTTTCACCAACTCGACGACAAACGCAGCAAGCCGTGGCTCTCGAGCAACTACAGACTCCTTTATAGGTATGTTTGTCTCCGTCTCAGATCTTGTGTCTTTTTCCTATGGCTCTGGTACTCGGTGCATCCGGCGCAATACCTCCTAGGTGAGGCGGTTTGGTGCATGGATCAAGCGTCCTGGAAGCACTCGTGGGACCGTTGTGTTCAGTAAACCGGTTTTCTCTGGGGCGCCTGAGAGCCGCAATCGACTCTTGGGCGTGCTTCTCATGGTATGGTCCTGATCTGAATCGCAAGCTGGGTCTTGGCTCGAGTTGAGTCGAGCAGCTGCGAGATTGCTTGGTCCATCTTACTACATCCGACGAGTTCATGATTCACATCGCCAAGCGGCAAATACTCAATCTAAGGGAAATTTTAGTCGAGTGGATCATCCACTTAATCGGCTCCGACGGCACTCCCGCCAGGGAGTCGAGCCTCAAACCCCTGGGATGTGGGCTTGGAGTGTGTCACTGTACCGTTGCGTTGTGGTTTCCCTTACGACCTTGTTATGGGGATTATATATGATCACCGGTGTGCAACTCATATCTTGATTCTATCCCCTTGCAATCTTTTCTCTCTTCACATACACTGTACCAAGATACTTCACTTGCACTCAAACATCTTCTACTGCTTCACGCATATACATTACACGTACAAGACTAACAAACCTACTTAGCCTTGCCACCTTACCAAGACCAAACACACACTTTCATAAGCCCCAACGCTCTCAGGAACGCCAAGAAAGCGAAGGACGAGCCCACTTCCACAGGTGGATACGTGGACAAAATTCCGCTCAACCCTCAGCCCTTGTGGAGTCACCTTCGCACATTCGGCTTTCACACGCCCACGCCCTGGCTCGATCTGATCTAGTGGGGTGCCGCGTACAAACAAGCCAGAGCTTGGTTCTCACAAGGCCCTTATTTATAAAGACGCTGAGGACCTACCCAAGGCACTGGATCTGGATCCATTACCCAAAAAACTTCTTTTAACCTCCCGCCCTTGCGCGGAATATCTCTTTGACATAACATCACATCACGTTACACATCTTCACAATGGAAACGTACCACGGATATGTGCGGACACCCGCCGATGCTATAAGATTATTTGAGGCTTGCCGATTGGGCATTCTGCCTCGTGTGCAACGACGACTTTCAGAGAAGGAGAGACAGTCAATTCGATCTGGTTCGGTTTTTGTTTGGGATGAGCGGGAAGCTGGTATGAGGAGATGGACTGATGGAAAGTCATGGAGCGCCAGCCGAGTGTCGGGAAGCTTCCTGACATACCGTGAGATGGAGGGCAAGCGAGGCGGTGGTTTCAACACTACCCGACGAGGCGGTGGCAAGACCCCAGACTCTGGACGCGGTAGCGACGAGGACCTAGATGACGGGGAGCCTGAGGGATACCGATACAAGGCAGACGGCCTGATGAAGCAATCTTTCAGCATCACTACTTCAACCGGCCAGCATCTTCACCTTATCTCATACTATTCTCGCCCTCAACCTGGCCAGCCTGAGCTTCAACAACCAACAAATGATCCTAACTTGCGTGGCATAGTTCCTGTTAAGGGCATGTATCCTGAGTCCAGCATGGGAGAGGCCAACACTACACCTGCTCTAACACGGGCGCCGATGCAGCAGCCTCCCTACATGGTTCCTCAACCTGGTCAACAACCATATGCTCCCTATGGCCAGCCTGGCTATGGATGGCCTCCTTCCCCCGTCGCTACTCCTCCTTACAGCCATTACGCCGCTCCCTATCCCCACGGTGTACCTCAGCAACTTCCACCTCACCCCGGCCACCCAGGTCTTCCTCACCCACACTACCATCAGGCACCTGTTTATGAGCAGCGTGCTCCTCTTCCTCCTCTGCCCGCCAAGCCCGCCTACCCATCAACATCTCCTCACTACTCACACCCTACTCTCCCTAGAGCTCACGACTCGCCTCGAGAGCATCATTTGCAGGCAGCTGCTCCAACCGCCATGGTGAATGGATCTTCTCGCACTCATCAGGTTGCACTCCCAGGTCTCGGTGCTGTTACAAATGGCCCTCCAGGATCGTCTCTCGCTGCCATCAGCACTCCCCCTAGCCGCACTATGAGCGTCAGCCCTCCACGCAGCTCTCATTCTGAAGCTCCTGCCACCACATCTAACAAGGCCAGCCTCTCAGCGCTCCTGCACCCTACTCCCGCACCTAGTGAAAGCGGCAGTGTCAAGCCTGGCAGCGCCAGCAGCAGTCCTAGAGCGGCTGGTGCCTGTGGTCTGGAGAAGGGCGGTGTCAGTGAGGACGCAAGAGCCTTGAGAATGCTGGACCGCAAATTCTGCATCTAGAAACGCGAGGAAGCCGTTTTCAGTGACGTCGAAGAGGATTGGAGGCCAAAATCAGCCTAGTTAGAGGCTATCATGCTAAGGGGTTGTGTTTATCCATCATATGCATTGTCACGGCGTCTTCATTTTTTACGGGGCAGCAACCACAAGGAGGTTGACTGCAATCATTCAGCGTGCTTTTTTACGACCGGGAACGGAAGAGGAATGAACGGAACGGTGTTTAGGGGTCATACAAGGCAGCGTCATGGTTCAGTGGTGTTCAGGTGCCATTGCAATACCAAATCATGTACATAGTTACTGAGCAATGTCAGAAGCATATTGACCAGTTTTGACCATCATCATACCACCTAATCCATCGTGTCTCTGTATGTTTGAGTGACATTTCGTCCCAGGGTGTAATATCAAGCCGGTTGACGAAGCGGTTTGAGCGCCAATGCACTGCGTACGTACGCGTTCAGTGTAAGTCAGGGGCGGCACAACGGCACGATGAGGTAAAATTTACAGTAGATTTAAGGTTGTTGTCAGTTGGAGGGTAGTCTCTGCATTCCCGTTTATCCGTGTCTTTAGCTATTTGTCGGCGCGTAGTGCAGGGCCGCGTCATCCTGACGATGCCGAGATGCCGGACAGGGTGTGGTACAGATCGTAAAGAACGCGTAAGGGAGAAACTGGGGAAAAAGGGAAATGATGATGCTAAGTATTAGAGGGTCTCGGATAGTTCCAGGTAATCCTTAATTTTATCTCGAAGCCTAGAATTGGGGTTTGCGTATAAGTGCTGTAGGGGTGCGATGGAAATAGGCGGCAATTTAGAGGCCTGGAGGGGTGGCGAGAGGATGAAGCTATTGACGATAGTTGACAGTGCTATTTATGGACGAGAGACATGTCTTTAAATTGGATCGAATTGGTCTCGTGAGATTGGTCTGCTCGTATTGGGCCTTTCGTTGTAATGTTGATTGCGAAGCTATTCGTGTTGGCTTGTCAATGCATGCCAGTTATATCGTGCATGGCTTGTCTTGACGGCCTCGCATGATTCACTGGCTAATATAGACTTGGAGATTCTTTGTAGTCGCATTTGAGTTAATTCAATCAACCTTTGTATTATACCTTAAATAGTTTATTTCATCCGTGAATGCACGTAATCAGCAGCATGTCGCGTGTAAGTCGGACTATAGTTCAACCGGCCCGGCCGATTGACAGCTGCAGGTGCTACGCGCATCAATGGGCAGAATAATCAAGCTTCGCGACTACCGATTGATTGTCTTTGTCCGCATCAATAGAGGACAATGAAATGACAATTCAATAGCTGCAACAATCCCATCTCGACACTTAATCATCCTCGGCTTAACTAAGATTGATCTAACGATAACCATGCTGCTACAATCGATATAGCAAACCTACTCCAAACTTTCATCTCGATTTGACTTGATCCTTTCTTTAATCACGTTTGCGCCGATACCATCATGTTCACCTTTTGCCCGCTCCAGGGCGCTCTTTCAGACTCGCCTGCTTCGCAATCGCTTCTTGAGCTCGATGGAGGAGTCAAGGTGTTGGTTGATCTAGGATGGGACGAGACCTTCGATGTTGAAAAGCTCAAAGAGATAGAGAAGTATGCACCCCCTGCGCATCTGATAGTGCGGTGGTGGCTAACAAATACGCTATAGACAAGTGACAACTCTCTCGCTCATTCTCGTTACACATGCGACAGCTTCACATCTTGCAGCCTACGCCCACTGCTGCAAGAACATTCCACAGTTCACGCGCATCCCCGTATATGCGACACGACCCGTCATTGACCTGGGCCGCACCCTCATCCAAGACCTATACACATCAAGTCCTGCCGCGGCGACGACGATCCCTCAAAGTTCGCTCACGGAGAGCGCATACTCGCTGACACAGACTGCGACGACTGCGCAGAACCTACTACTACAATCTCCTACGAACGAGGAGATTGCACGATACTTCTCCCTTATCCAACCACTTAAATACTCACAACCTCATCAACCTCTACCCTCACCATTCTCACCGCCTCTTAATGGCTTGACTATCACCGCCTACAACTCTGGACATACCCTCGGAGGTACGATATGGCATATTCAGCACGGTCTAGAGTCTATCGTGTATGCTGTGGACTGGAATCAAGCACGTGAGAATGTCTTTGCTGGAGCAGCTTGGCTGGGAGGCGCTGGAGGAGGTGGCGCTGAAGTCATTGAGCAACTGCGGAAACCAACTGCACTGATCTGCAGCAGTCGTGGTGCAGACCGAACTGCCCAGACTGGAGGTCGCGCAAAGCGAGACGAGCAGCTGATCGACACCATCAAGGCTTGTGTGACACGAGGAGGAACTGTTCTTATCCCTGTGGATTCAAGTGCTCGAGTCCTAGAACTCTCGTATCTCCTGGAACATGCCTGGAGGACCGATGCTGCTTCCGATGCTGGCGTCCTCAAGACAGCCAAGCTATACTTGGCTGGACGCAATATGTCAAGCACAATGCGATACGCCCGAAGTATGCTCGAGTGGATGGACGAGAGTATCGTTCAAGAATTCGAGGCCTTTGCTGAGGGTCAACGAAAGGTCAACGGTGCAAACGACAAGAAGGAGGGCGGACCGTTCGACTTTAAATATCTACGACTACTCGAGCGCAAAGCTCAGATCGCACGACTTCTAAGTCAGAATCCCGACAACGTATCGACAGAAGGCCGTGTTATTTTGGCCAGTGATAGTAGTATCGAGTGGGGTTTCTCAAAGGATTTGATCAAGGGATTGGCACGAGACTCGAGAAACTTGGTCATTCTAACAGATAAGCCAGGTCTATCAAAGACCGACAAGCCATCTATTGCACGGACATTATGGGATTGGTGGAAGGAGCGCAAGGATGGTGTGTCGGTGGAACAAAACGCAAACGGAGAGAATCTCGAGTTTGTTTATGCTGGTGGACGGGAGTTGGAGATCCGCGAGGCCCAACGTCATGCGCTAGACGGTGATGAATTGGCATTATATCAACAATGGCTTGCGACTCAAAGGCAACTTCAGGCTACACAACAGAGCGGAGGCGCAGCTGGACTCGAGGCAGCAGCAGATGCCGTTGACGATGCTTCATCTGAATCCTCTTCTGACTCGGAAGATGAAGACGGAGAACAACAGGGCAAAGCACTCAATGTCTCGACAGCTATTGCCCAAGCTGGCCGCAAGAATGTTGTTCTCAAGGATGAGGATCTCGGTATCAACGTGCTCATCAAGAAGAAGGGTGTATACGATTTCGACTCTCGAGGGAAGAAGGGCCGAGAGAGGACGTTTCCTATTGCTATCCGGAGAAAGCGCCAAGATGACTTCGGAGAGCTCATTCGACCCGAAGATTACCTCCGTGCTGAGGAGAAAGAGGAAGAAGGACAGGACAACACCAATATGGAGGCTGCTGACGACAAGCTCGGCAAGAAACGAAGATGGGACGACTTCGCAAAGACTGGAACCGGTGCTAAGCGACAACAGAATATACGGGCTGGTTCCGCTGACGGGGAAGAGGCTGGAGCTGGTGATCATGATGGTTTCGTGCCTGATGAGCTCGACAGTGTCGAGGATGTCGAGACCGAGGAGCCCACCGGACCATGCAAACTCACATATCAGACCGAAACTGTCCAGACCAACATGCGCATTGCATTCGTCGACTTTAGTGGTCTGCATGATAAGCGAAGTCTAAACATGCTGATTCCCCTAATCCAACCACGAAAGCTCATTCTTGTTGGTGGCGAACGAGATGAGACACTTTCTCTGGCTGAAGACTGCCGTCGGGCATTGGGCGGAGATAATGGCAACGCGGATGCTGGCAGTGAGCGCTCTGTTGACGTGTATACTCCCGAGGTTGGAGTCGTCGTGGATGCCAGTGTCGACACCAACGCATGGGTTGTCAAGCTCGCTGATCCTCTTGTAAGAAAGATCAAGTGGCAGAACGTACGTGGTCTGGGCATTGTTACTATCACCGGACAGCTCCTGGCTACACATCTCAACGAAGCTGCCGCAGCAGATGAAGATGCTGCCAACAAGCGCCAGAAGACGGAGGAGACGTCTTCCACGACACTTACCAACATGGCTGCAGCTATTCCGTCGGCCACACCAGTTCTCGATGTTCTACCTGCTAACCTCATTTCCGCTGTCCGCTCAGCAGCTCAACCACTGCATGTTGGCGATCTCCGACTTGCTGACCTCCGTCGTGCCATGCAATCTGCTGGCCATGCAGCTGAATTCCGTGGTGAGGGTACACTAGTTGTCGATGGCACCGTGGCTGTCCGCAAGACCTCCGCAGGACGCGTCGAGGTTGAGAGCGTCGGTATGCCGACTGCACGAAGAAGCACTTTCTACGAGGTGCGCAAGATGATATATGATAACTTGGCGGTTGTGGCTGGTGCATAGAACGTCCATGGATGGTCACAGAAGGAATTGGGGGCGAAGAAAAGGAATGGGCGTAATCGATGGGATTCGCTGGTTTTTGTACTCTACTGAAGAAAGAAAGATAAGATACGGCAAAGGTGTATTCTCTATGGGGAATGAATTTGGTTACAACGAGCCACGACGGGGTTGGAGATTGCAGAAGATGGAGGTTGAGATAGATTCAACAAAGGCATCAAAGCCACTTCTTCTCCATTTTTCCTTTGGTGTTTCTTGCTTTGACTGTAACTTTGACGAACAAGTAAAGTACTGAAGCATATCGCGATAAGTCACAAGTGTCGATTCCAGGCACATGCATCTATGAATCTTTATGAGATCTGGTCGTTATGTTGATGTTCGTCTCTTGACAGACAGATCTATCTTGGAGTCGTCTCACTCGGTCTGAACGGACCCCTGATTAAAGCTCTTCAAAATTAACGTACATAAACGGTGTAAAGAGCGCCCAAACGCCTAGCAATGCAAGTCTATTCAACCATATCCAAGGACCCCAACCCCAATTTTCATCTTACAGGCTGCATAGGCGCCATCTCATACTCTCCACCACCATCCGGCCCCCTTCCTCTCACAGCAATACCCATCTCCTCATCAACAGGAGGAGGTTGCGGCGCTGCGCCTTCAGGTCCTGTAGCTGGGAGAATGGGACGACCGCCGAAGAAGACGGGCTGCAGCTCGCGATACTGACAGCCCCAAGTTCCGAGACCGATGCATAGCCCGGATGAGACAAGCATGGTGAACCACCAGGCTCCGTGGCGGGGGATGTGGCCGCTGTAAAGGGATGCGATTACGAGGTTGAGAAAGTGGACGGTCAATGCGAAATCGGGTACGAGTTTGGAGCGAGCGATGAGGGCGACTATTGCGATAGGACTATAAAGTGTTAGTAAAGAAAGATATTCCAACAAGGGAGCTTCTGCGCTTCGAAGGAGAACTCACATGATCAACCCTCCATCCAACAAGAACACAAATGCCATGAGCCATCCATGCGTGGTATCTCCTCTCAGTCCCTCCCATCCAAATACAAGCGTCCAGCTAAACCCAGAGCCAGAGACAAGCGCCGTAAAGACAATCAGAACCAGTGCAGCGAAGTAGTATATCGCCTGTAGCGTCGCGATCTGGCCTGCGATTTTTAGGGGCGCAAGTTCTGCGAGGGCGCCTGCGCGCGGAGGTTTACGACGTCGTGGCATCTTGTGCCTTTGTGTGAAGTTGTTGTAAGAGGCCAAGTGTAGAGGATGCAGGAGTCGTCGGTCATCGAAGGGGCATGTCTCGTGAGGTCTTGTGATGTCTTCTTTGAGCTTTCGGCTTTAGCGCATGAACCTTATATTCCCAGCTTTTTCTCGTCTTTTGAAGCTTGATTACTGAAAGTAAGACTCAGCAGAAGCTGAGAATCAGCGTAGACAAAGAAAAAGTAAAGGAGAGAAGAAAGTTGAATGCAGGGAATAAGTCGAGCTGCTTAAAGCAAGGGAAGTAAGGACAATCAAAGGACAGATTAAAGTGCATCAGCCACACATATCAGAACACAGCTACCCTGAAACGTGGCTTGTGCTCCGTCCACTAAACCATTCCAATCTCACCGCCCTCTTTTTCTGCCGGTTCTGCTCGTCATAACGTACCCTCAGCGTTAGTAGACTGGAGATACACGGCTCATGAGATTTTGTACCCGTGTGTCCCGCCCTCATCACCATCACCAATTAACTCTCTCACATAAAAACCACAAAAATACAAACACGCAATGGGTTTCTGGCCATTCTCAAGCGAATCCCGCGCAGACGCCATTCGATCCGGCGACGCGATACCAAACCGTCAAGAGCGCAAGATCTGCTGGGCCGCCCGCGATGCCTACTTCAACTGTCTAGACGCCCACAACATCGTCGACGCCGCCAAGGATCCATCAGCGACAAAGAAGGCTTGTCCAGTTGAGACGGCGGATTTTGAGAGGGACTGTGCAGCTGCTTGGGTCAAGTACTTCAAGCAGTGGAGGGTTGCGGATATCCAGAAGAAGCGACGCCTGGATGAGTTGAGGGCACAGGGTGCACAGGAGATGACGGTTACGACGAGTTTTGCGCCAGAGGGTGGTGCTGGGGAGAAGGGCAAGGGTGTAGGCGATATCCAGGCCATGTTGGATCAGAAGAAGTAACGGGATTGGAGGAACAAGATGATGGATGAATGAGACAACGGACACGGAAAAGGCTTCACAAAAGGCCATTACTTGTTTTACATATTTGTATTATATCATTGTAAACTACCACAATATCACCAACTCACACCCCAAAAGGTACAATCACAGCTGCAATTGCACTCGCTGTACCACCTTCACATCACACGCCGCACCCACTCCTCCCAATGAGCTAACTCAAATCTTTATCCTACCATTTCTATCTATTCCTACTACCTAAGCCGCTGCCTGTGCAAGCCCTGCCAGCTGATGAGAAACCAAGAGAGTACAATAAGTATATGACAAAAACGAAGTATCATGTGAAAAGGGGCCAGTCAACAAAGATTTGATTAACGACCAGAAGAAAAGTGAATAAAAAAAAAACAGACTGTAGCGTGCTAAGCGTGGTGGTATCATCCATGTCTTCTTCTTTTTTGATAAAAGGAACCATATCTGCACTCGCTCCCGAGGCACCGACCGCGCTTCAACCTGGCGATACGGCTCACCCACCACTTTTCCGAGTGCTTCTCTGCTTCGTCGCTGACAAAGGAAAATGTGTCTGAAATAGAAACTTGCTTTCATAGGCCGAGGCCGAGTCCAGTATGCCAAAAATGTTGATTGACAGAATAACAATAAGGAAATAGTGCGCGGCTGGTCAAGGAATGGTCCAGCATAAGAATATGATATGAATATGAATAAGGGGGTGTCGCCAGGTGTCTCGCTTTTCTAATGCATCATTGGTGGTTGGCGATGGTTCCGTCGCTCGTCAACCTTGTGTATGTATCTGCGTCGTTCGCTTTCTTAATCGTGAATCCATCTTTTGTCCTCCTCGACAAACCCGGAAGTGATTCCTTGGTTTGACCTTGGTCGCAACCTAAGCTACCAGTCGTACTCCATTGTCGTCTGTCCCATCCTTCCTCGGTAATGGCGGCAGCTCTTTATTGAGACTATCAATGCTCACTCTCTGTCCTTGATTGGCGGGACCTGTGCCATTGCTGAGACCTGCATAGCCACTATCTGCGCTTCCGGGTCCGGCATATCCTGACTTGGGAGGAGTTGGGGGCGGTGCTCTCGTCGGAGGGAGGCTCTTGTTGAGGTCTTTAGAGGATCTCAGAGGCCTGGCCTCGGTGTCGTCACGGCCATTTTCACCTGCCTCCTGCACGACGGGCAAGATAGGCTCATGCTGCAAAGAGTCGCGATTGTCCCTAGAAGTGCCGGTAGTCAAGACTCGGTCTGGAACCTGGTTCTCGGTATATCCATGCCTCTCAGAGCGCTCGGCCTCCTTATTAGCCCGTTCGAGCGTTTCCTGAGCTTCCGGAGATCGTGGGCCAGGTGGTGGAGGTGGTAAATGGGTTGGCATCGGTGGAACGGCCTGAGACGACCTGCGCCGAGAATTCCAGCTTGACACTCTGTTTTCTGAACGTTGAGCTTCAATCATTTCCTGGTGTCTCCTCTCGGCCTCCCTGTGAGCCTCTTCGGTGGACATGGTGACACCCTCGATGAAATGGTAGAACCGGTCACCATACTGGTCAGGTGGTAGTGCTGAAATTTGTGTCTTGTCACTTGATAAGCCCTTCCAGAAGTGCTCAATCTTTTTGATAATTCCATACTAAATCATGTTAGTTGTCGTCGTTTCCAACCTCGATGTAATACTTACGTGAGTGAGACAGTCGATGACTCCGAGATAGTAAATCTCATCCCCTGGAGTATTATCTTCATGGGTTGCCCTGAATCCACCATCGTCCTGACCAAAGACCCATCCAGGTCGATGCTGGCCTTCTTGCAACTCATCAGGCATCTTGTTTGCTGACTGGCCCATAGGTACTGGTCGCTCCTGGCGAATCATCTGTCTCAGTTCCCTAGCCTTACGTTGGTTCTCCAATTTGGATGGTGTGCGAAGGAGGACCGAGTTGGGCTCGTCGTCGGGGGACTTCTCACCACCGGGGTTGAAAACTTGCAGTGTCTTGTCACGAAGGTTTTCTTCATTCCCTCGAGAGACATCATGTATGCCAACTAGTAGTGAGTAGTCCATGATCTTAAGTCTCTTCAGGAGAGCAACATCCCGTTGTAGTTGCTCAAGAAACATGCGCTTCTTCTGGATACCCAACTCGAGGCTCCGCTGTCGCCTCAGCCAGTTGAGATCCTTCAGGGTCGCCCTTGGGTTTTTCTCCAAATCTTCTTCCCTATAGTCTCGACCGATGGTAGAGCCCTTCAGATCGAAAGTGGTGTGAATATCCCGGTGTGGGGGGAAGAGGTTGTTCATCACAACAAAGTGAATCTTCTTTCCATATGGCATCTTGACTCGGTGAAGGCCGTAAAACTGCGAAAGAAGCATATTGGGGTTGTCTTTGACGTGCTGGTAATATTCCTTAAGAATCTTACGGAGAAACTTATGTTCAGCATGGTGGATGGTCTTGATGATATACTTATAATCCCGGGAGAAGTAAAAGAAACTTCCACTCTTGCCCGGTGATCCCAGCTCAGATAGGATATACTTGCCCGTGAGCGACATCAGATAATCAGCAGGGTCCAGGCGGAAGAGAGCTCGGAGGCGGCGGAAGACCCAAGGAGCGTAGTCCTTGAACTTGAAATCGTACTTGGCAGACGGCACCAGCTCATTACCGGCGATGTCAAACGTCGACTTCTGCTTAGTCTCAAAATCGGCATCTGTCAACTCTCGGTCGAGCTTGGCATTCGTTCTCGAAACCGAAACACGAATACCTGTAAGCATGTTGTAGGCGGTCTCCCAGTTGGCGTGATTCTCATCGACCTTGGTACCGACAAGAACGCGATCGTCATCCTCCTCCTCCTTTCTCCTCCTCTTGCTAGCTCTCTTTTGTCGCAATGCCTCTGCCCAGCGAAGAGCATCCTCATCTGGTACAATCTCGTCCCGTGGTCCATCTGACTGCATTGATCGAGTTGGCCTTCTACCCATACTCAAAGAGGGTCGTCGACCACTTGAACTTCCAGCATTAGTAGGGGAGAAGCGGCCACTAGCTTGGGCTGTATCCATTCCGTCTTTTGAACCGCGCCCCGGAACGTATTTTGGTACATCGAGGGTATGTCGTTGCTTGAGACCAGGGGGCGCTTGTAAATGTCCTGTTGATGAGGCTGCTGCACTTGACGGGTTATAAATTGGTGGTGATGACAACCGATGTGTGCCATTTGTGCGAGGGTGCAGTGCCTGCGCCGCATCGGTGTTCGTATTATTATTCGCCGAGAGAGCAGTTTGTGACTGAGAACCGCGCGGCTCTACAGGGAAAGGAGAAAGTGAGAGTGTATGGTTTCCATCAAAGCTCCTGCTTGGGGGCTTCTCGGGAGCTCCCTCTGTCGTTTGGGGTTCCGAAGGTAAGGGCTTTGATAGTATGTTGTTATGTTGATGATTATTGGTAGAGGCTGTATTGGAATTGATGCCATTGGTATCGGATGAGTGCTGGCGTGTACGGTCGACTAGGTTCGCTGTGCCATTAGGCATGGGCTGCTGCCCAAACTTTCCGACTCCGTTTACATCGTCTTGTTGGGTGTGAGTAGCCGTAGCGGACATGCCGTTAGAATTAGAGCTCATGCTCGTAGGCCGCGTGCTGTTACTGTTGCCATTCATAGGCGCTGGTGTTGAGTCGGAGACGTCGGACGCGTGTGTAGAGGAAACGGAGCTCTCGTCAAAGCTCTCATTGATTGTGTCGGATCGGGTGTGGCGGATAGAACCCCCATTCACCCTCTCCTTGTTGACGAAACCGAACTGGTTCGTGGGATCAAGGTTGAGGATGTCGGGGTTATTGCTAAAGATTGTCGAATTGTCCTGATCGGAGAGAAACGATGGCATTTCGAGCGGGGATGTGAAGAACTCGCTGGAGGCCAAGACCAGCGAGTGCTGACGCGGTAGATGCTACTGGGTGAAGTGATGCTATTTCGAGCCTAAATCGGGGTTTGTGGATGTGATAATATCGTCGAGACGTCGTCGGGCTCTGCAATCACTTGTCTTCCTGTCGCAGTGGTTCGCTCTCACTAACTCTGGGTTGAGTATTAACGTTGCTGGTGGAACAATGGGCGGTAGAGACGAGAGAGAGGGAAATTGGTTCGAGGGCCTTGCTGGCTGGGCGCACGGGGGGATGCTTGGCGGGTCGACCAATGGGCAGGGCAGGGACACCGCGCTGGGGTGAAAAGTCGAGGGGGGAAGCGAAAGCCCAGGCGAAGTTGAAGCTGTAGATTAAATGGGCTACGGAGTTATATGAAGATGATTGCGATGGGAAGAGGTTTCGTATATCGAATTCCCAATTAATGTGCTGTCGAATTAGATCGATTTCTGGGTGTGAGGTGAGGTGAGCGACGGAGACGGAGAAGAGAGACGGAGGATGGTGTAGTGTTGTTGGTGGTGGTGAGGCTGGGAGAAATCCGGGCGGGAAAAAGTGACGGGGCCTGGGCTCTTTCTTTCTTTCAGCAGTAGCAGTTGCAGCAGCTCCTTCCTGCCTTGCCTGGCCTGTACCTAAAACTGGAAATGAGGCGTCTCTCTGTGTGTCCTGTAAGGAAGAAGGGGGAAGGAGATGGTACCCAATGGGATAAAGGATGGGGGGCCACCCGGGATCCCGGCTGATATGAGATGTGAGGATTGGTGGACGTCTGACAGGCTCTGTTTTACTGGGCACAGCGTATTCTGGGCTATCTTTCAGTGCACTCCACCCACTGAAGCAATGCAACTGGGCTGTGTGGACCACTGAAAGGGGAGGGTTTGCGTGGCATAAGTCCCACGACAGATGGGCTTGGCTTGGGGCTTGGCAGACGGCCCTGGAAACCCGTCTCCCGTCCGTCTGATGCCGCTGCTACTATTTATCGGTGGCTTGCAATATTGGCGTCTAGCTCTTGTATTTTTACAGGTACGGGTTAGAGAAAAGATACACGCCATTGACACAATTGAAGATGCCATTAGAAGTGCCGGTCGGTTGTGGTGTTGTCAGATTTGACGATCTGTGGCCATAATCATCCTTCTTATCTCGCCAAGGGGTAACATAGAGAACAGCCAACTGTACAGTACAGTAGAGCATGATCTAACCCAGGCTTCCCCATGATTCGACACGATCTCCTTATCCAATATCATCCTTGTCATGAAGCATCAATCAGTGCCCGTCTCATTCTAAGTTTGCCTCAGAAGTCGAACAGTGGGTAACGAGTTATATCTCGACTCATGTCTCTTCAACATGAAACTTGCAGTCTTGAAGCATTAACTCTGCTTATAATACGGAGTACAGCTTCAGTAACTTGATGTTTAATTCAGCTGATCTGATTTCAATATTGTTCGGATGCTTTTAAGGCTCCGAGAGCTTGTTACTGGCTATTAAAGAACCTTGTCAGTCATCTGCAGCCATTGGATCCCGTCGACATCAATCAATCAATCACCCCAGGCACCGTTAACACAGCCACGGGGGGTCAAGGTCCACTTTCCCCCGTCTCTTTCAATCTCGTTGTCGTGGATATGAAGACTAAGCCAAATCTCAAGACTAGGTACTAACCTATCTACTCTTCATCTCAACTTTGAATATGAAATCGTGAGAATGATTTGTAAGTGGCAACATATCTTGGTAGTGTTTCTTCAGACTAAACACACCATTCAACTAATGGCAACTGATCGTCGTTTTGGCTGATATGTCGATTTGCAAGATCGGCGCCATTCTCTCTTGTTCCAAGTCTTTTTTTGGTCCCAAGACATTTGTTCCTGTCCCTTGTTTTTTGTCTTCGCCGCTAGCTAGCACATTCCGTCATGGCTGTGACCCTTATGACCACCAGTTTTTATGCGGCTGATCTACCATCCAACATGCAGCGTCCAACATCCGCCCATACTGTGATAATCCCGCGGCTTTAGCATTCAATATGTTACTATATTCAGTATGAAGAGGAGTGCACCATAGTCTTGGGTCTTGTAGATGTTTATTGGGATCATGGTACTTGTGATGAAGTCTCACTCTGAAGAACGGGCGAATACCCACCCTATGCTGTCACTCAAAGTTCGTATCACGGGCATGTGCGTTTCCTGTAACATATGGAGCATCGTTATACATCATACATGACTTATCATGCTGCTCTCACAACTGATTCTCATCTTTAGTATCAACCTCCTTACGACGAAGCCAAGCTCATCATCCTACAACATATCAACCCCAATATCTAAACAAGCTCTTCATTCTCCACAACATCTCTTGTACTCTTGGCTGCCTCTTCCTCTTCAATAACAGATACCTTCCTAACCCCCCTGCCAAGCCACTCACAGAGCACGGCCCTTCTCGGGGTTGGCGAAGAATGCGAGCAACCGTGACAGATGTAAAGGGTCCACTGTCTACGCAATCCCCCGTGAATCCTTTCAAGAACAGCTAACTCAACTTTCTTGGCCCTCTCTCTGGAAATAAAAAGGAGGGCTGTGATTTCCAGGAACATGTGTAGTCTAGTGCTAACTAACGCGCCTTTGTTGATCAGATACGTGAAAGCCCTATGGACCCTGCCCCTGGTTTTTGTCAGATCGCATTCCAGTGCTGACTCATTCGCTTTTACTTCACGAGCCTCTTTCAGACGTTTCACGACAACTTCCTAACTTGACTCTCTTAACACACCCCAATTACTACATACAGTGTTCTCTCAAACTTAAACTGGAATCTTGAACAGGGGCTTGCCGTACAGGTGGTTTCTGATCTGTCAAAATCGAACTACATCTGAATCATTTCTACTCCCTGTGATCGAGCACGCTATTCCTCTCAATAAGTTCACTATCACAAGTTATCACAAGAGTCAAGGGTCATCTGTGTGAGAGGAAAGTGGGAAATCCCACAGTTTTGCTCAAATAAACTATCTGCCTCACCAGCTCCAGCCACGTCGTTGCAGAACGCAAAATCCGTCCATACAACGGCACGTGCCGAGCCGGTACGAAAGCCATCCAGTCCATTCAGTTTCCCCTCCCAAAAGTTATTTTTTCTTGTTTTTCTACTTTCATGGTTTTCATTGGTGCTGCTCAATAGCAGTCATCTCACTGTCTCAACCCTCAGTCTTGTCGCGAGAAGCCATGTTCGAGCAAAGACTGCATCTTGTCCGTGATAGGGGAGAGAGAGCAAGATCAATGTAGTGATGTTACCCGTGGGCCTCATAAAGCCCTTTCGAACCCACCAATACGTCTAGCAGAGTCTGCCTCAGCTCATGAGATCCGCTCATCCAACGTAGATTTGCCGTAAGGGTATCATATCCCCCGTGCGCTCGCTCCGCCGAGGTGCCGTTCAAATCGCAAGTCAGCTACAGAAATTGCAGCCCTCAAATACAAACCGAGGGCAACGCCATCCGCGTGAAAAGCCTCGAACGCCTCGAACCTCAGAAACACCCCCTTCCTTTCCCTTCTCCCCGCACCATTTGGCTGTGCCCAGCCCCAAAGCGGGTGTGTCTACCGTGGTCGATGCCCAAAGAACACCTTTTCCCTGGAAGTTCCATTTCTCGCTCTTTTTCATCATCCGTAGATATCATGAACCAAATCAAACAGAATGCCAAAGCCGATGGTGATGATACGACTGACAGATCCGTGCAAAAAGGAAGCCAACAGGGCCTCCATGCCAAGAATGCGTGAGCCATATGAGTCGGGGCTCGCTAATGTGTTGGGTTTTTGCATAGAAACCCTTTGTGAAAGTGTCGAAGGAGTCGTAATCCATCGGCAGTGCAGGCCGTTCGCCGTCCCATCCATTCGCGGAAAAATATGCGAATAATGTACAATCCAACATTGAAATCACAACCCAGTACAAAAAAAATCATCTTAAAGTCATCCTTAAACCCCTGTCTCGCCTACCTAACGCCATGCATGAGTATATATAATATTAGGATTGGGCATCGCGGGGCGGGCCGCGACCTCGACCGCCTGCGCCTTGGCCACCGCGGCCACGATACCCACGGCCTCGTCCACGACCTCGCCCGCCGTTGTTATAGTGCGGGTTGCCGTGCTGAGGGTTTTGGCTCTGCCAATTACCCTGGCCTTGTTGAGGCAGACCAGCCTGCTGCATCTGCTGAGGCTGTTGGTATTGCTGAGGTTGTTGAGTTTGGGGCTGCTGCTGACCCTGGGCCGCAGGTAGTTGTCCCCTTTGCATGTTGGAGATGGGTCGGGGGATCGACTCAGGGTTCTCGTAGACATAGAGACTCTTGTCGATGCTGGCGGGGATAGGCTGGATCTCAGTGCCAAGATCCCGCTCAATGTTGTAGAGGTTGAAGCGGTCGTCCCAGTTGATCAGGTTGATAGCCAGACCAAGGTGGCCATAACGACCAGATCGACCAATGCGATGAAGGTAGGTCTCGGCATTCTTGGGGAAATCAAAGTTGATGACAACGTTGACAGCCTGGATGTCGATACCACGGGTGAGGAGATCGGAACAGACCAAGTTTCGGCACACACCGTTGCGGAAGTCGTGGAAAACACGGTTTCGTGCATGTTGCTGCATCTTAGCATGACTGTAGAAGCAGGAGTATCCAAGTTCGGTAATTTTCTTAGCGAGAAGTTCGACTCGGTTGGTGGAATTACAGAAGATAATCGACTGGTTGATTTGGAGCTTGGAGAAGAGGGTGTTCAAGCAGTGGACCTTCTGCTTCTCTTCAACAAAGGCGTAGTATTGAGTGATACCCCTCAGAGTGAGCTCGTCCATCAGGTTGATCTCATAGGGGCTGACCATGTTCTTATCGGAAAAGTCCTTGACGGACAGAGGGAATGTGGCTGAGAAAAGCATGACTTGTCGGTCCTTGGGGTGAAATTGCAGAAGCTGTTCGATAACGGGAGTAAACTCGATGGATAGAAGCTTATCGGCTTCATCCATGATGAACATGGGGCATTCGCTAAGATCGGCAACATTCTTGCCAGCGAGATCGAGAATTCGGCCTGGGGTACCAACCACAATATGGACGGGATCCTGCAGACGAATAATGTCATCTCGAAGACCGGTACCACCAGTCGTAACCATAACATTAATGCCGAGGTGCTTGCCGAGGGTCTTGCAGACTTGCGAGGTCTGCATGGCAAGCTCACGTGTGGGGACAAGGATAAGACATTGAATCTTGGAAACCTTGGGATTGATGCGTTCCAAGGTAGGGATGACAAAGGCAGCTGTCTTGCCAGTGCCGTTCTTTGCTCGTGCAAGAATATCTCGGCCAGTTAATGCGACGGGTATAGCTTCCTCTTGAATTGGTGAAGGTTTCTCAAATCCTGCTTCAAAAATTCCCATAAGTAGATCTCGCTTGAGGGCAAAGTTCTCGAACTCGAGGCCCTTTGTGTTTGTAACATCCTGGGGACAAAGGTCAGCCTCTGGGCGTGCGCCAAGGAAATCATGATTGCAGCATGTACCTCTGTTTGTTGTCGGTTATCCTTTGCGGGGAGGTTCAGGTTCTTCTTCCACTCGTCACTCGCGGCGGGAGCACCGTCACTGCTCGAGTTAGTCCAAGCTCACAAGGGCCGCTAGGGCGGCGCAGCGGACCTGAGTTGGGTGGATTTCAGCTTGTCTGCTAGCTGATCCGCCATTGCGTGTATAGGATCCGTCTACGGATCGAAAGAAAGTAAAAGGGTGAGGTATTATATGCAAAACAGCACAGAGGTCGGCCTCTCGTGGGTTCGGGGCGCGGGAGGGGGCAGCAGGTGAGGAGCTGTAAGGCGTTGTTGGTTTGTGTGGAGAGAGGTCGGAAGAAAATCGGTGCGCGAACTACCTGAGAAAGAAGACTCAGGGATGAAAGTGCTTTAGTTAGTTGAAAGCGCGAGGTCTATGTCGTGTGGAGAGGTCTCTTGTCGTCGTGGGGTGTTTAAAGGTGTGATTCGGTTCTTGGTGGAGGGAAGAAATAGAGTAGAGTAGGCTCAGTCTTGGAGTTTGAAGGTGAAGGTGACGATGGTGTGTGCCTCATTGCGGCGGAAGGCCCTGCAGTTTTTGGTCACGTGTAGGCGGGGCAGCCCGGTTTTTATCGCTGAGATGGACGAGAATGAGCTTTTGCTAAAGTGATCTAGTCTATTGTATTCTGGGAATTTGCCAAGTGTTTGCTTGGAGTTGAGCGACTCTCGGAGGGAGATTCCGAGGCTTTTGTTGTGATGAAAATGACACGAGAGATGAAAATCAACAGAGTTTCAATGAGGACGCACGATACCTCCAGCTCTAAGCAGGGGCCAGCTCTGACGATTTAACAAGCGAGGTACAACTTGTCACTGTAGTATGGGGTTAAGTTCTTCGATTGACAAAGAACAGTCCATCCCTGCGTATGTTTTGAGAGAATATGTACCTCTGAAGGTCAAGTTCTCATTGCTCATCTATTAATTCACATTCTAGGTCAAGAAAGGTAGCGCTACTCCACGTTACTCGATGCTAGGCAGGCTACCTATCACGATCTCTCAATCACATGAAAACAATGGCATGACCAATAACCGCTGGAGGAATTGCCAATTCACGCAAGCCATTCGTTCATCATTTATCATGGAATTTGTAAAAACTGGTATTCATTCTTCGCTCTACTCGGCCTGACATCTAGACCAAGGCCATAGCCAAATAAGTAACTCCAAGGTGGTGCAATATATATACAAATGATCTCTACTCCGGCTTTTACAGCTTCATACCCACAGCCTTTGCAACTCTCAGACTCTGCCTCATGCTAAGATCAAGCATAATCTCTTCACTGCCACCGGGGATGGCATATGCTCGCACATCACGGTACAGTCGCTCGACCTTGGCACCCTGACCTCCTCGAGAGTAACTCAGACCACCGAAGATCTGACTAGCTTCCCGGGCACAGAACTCAAATGTGAGGGTAGATTGAGCCTTGAGACCAGCAATAGGACCGCCGAGTCGAAGCATAGCCTCTGTCTCGCCCATGCGCTCGCACTGGTAGATGAGGTTCTCGAGCCAGTTGTATGAGGCCTCGATTTGACGAGCCATGTGAGCGAGCTTCATGCGGATAACAGGGTGGTCAATGAGCTTCTTGCCGAATGTGCGTCGCTTGCTACCGTACTTGACGGACTCCTCGTAGCAGACACGAGAGAATCGGAGGGACTGGATGATAATACCCATACGCTCGTGGTTGAAGTTGGTCATGATGACCTTGAAACCCTGGTTCTGCTTGCCGAGCAAGTTCTCAACGGGAACCTTCACATCTTCGAAGGTGATGTATGTTGTGCCTGAAGACAGGACACCTTGGCAAGGCATGCGTCGGGTGGAAACACCCTCGCCACGCTCGATGAGGAGCAGAGACACACCGTTCATACCAGCCTCTCCAGTTCGCACAGCGACGGTGAAGTAGTCGGCCCAGATACCATTGGTAATCCACTTCTTCTCACCGTTGACGATGTAGTGCTTGCCATCCTCGCTCAGCTTGGCCTCGCAGGTCAGGTTGGCGACATCACTACCAGCATCAGGCTCAGTGATAGCCAAGCAAATGCGCTTCTCACCACTAAGGATACCAGGCATGATACGGTCTTTGAGCTCCTTCTTACCGAACTTCATAAGAGGAGGGCAGCCAATACCGAAGCCACCGATGATGTTCCAAACGAAACCACCAGAGCCAGTGCGGGACAGCTCGTCGGTGATGATCATCTCGTGGAAGAGATCCCACTGCTCAGGAGCGACAGACTTGATACCTTGAGGAGCATATTGGGTTGGGTACTTGACACCGAGAAGACCAGCGAGGTAACCGCGACGACCCATCTCCTTATAGATCTCCTCAGGGACCTCCTTGGCCTCGTCCCAGTCGGTGACATAAGGCTCGATATCTTTCTCAACCCATTCGCGGATCTCGGCGCGGAGAGCAGCATGAGATTCGTTGAAGTATGGTGAGTGGTACTAACACGTGTAAGCAAGGAGTTGACAGAAGGTAGCAGGGGTAAACCCACGCTTTGGTACCAGGCAGGGTCAGCAAAGGGAATCTGGTCGCCGAAAGGCTCAAGAGCCTCGGCGTCTTCCTCCTTGGCAGCAACCTCCTTCTGTGTAGTCTTCACGGCCTTGGGTGTAGGGGCCGCGGGCACCGGAGCAGCATTGGCCTCAGGCTTAGGCTCGGGGGCCGCGGGCTTGGAGTCAAGAGATCCGACCTGAAGCTGCTTCTTGTACTTCTTGAGGATACCCTCGTTGTGGTACTTCCAGAATTGCTTGGAAGCGTCCTTGCCGCCGACGCGCTGGAGAATCTTCTTACCACCTATTGCGCGTTAGATCTGAGTTTCGAGGGGTGTATCGTGATTGACCTACCTGGGTGGTCGTCTTGAAATTTTGTCAAATCGTAAACATCGCCATCGACAATGATGTACAAGTCGCCGGGCTTGTTATGCGACGCAACGTCGCCTGTGGTAAAGACTTTAGACATGTTGACTTTGTGTTGCTGATGTGATGGGAAAAGGATAATCAAAACTGTCAAAGGGTATATATCACAGAATCAAAAGAAAAGGCCAACACGACAATATGGGAGAAAAAGAAGGAGGAAGAAGGGATCATAAGCCTTTCATGAACCTTTTTTAAAACATGCTTCGGCAAAAGCATAGGTAGTATTACAATCACATGTTGGTGCTTCAGCTCCACCCCCATATTCTATCATCTTTTTTTCTGGGGAAAACTTGTCGCTTCAGGTCATGAGTCGTCTCATTCACGGCATTACTCGATGCGGTCATGGTAGAGAGACAAAGGTCATGTGCCTACGCCTCGCTATGTTCATTTTGCATGTGAAAGAGCTGCAGTAAACGACAATTGCTCTACTGCTAAACTCTAGCGCATGCGTTGATGTCATGATGGAGGATGCCGAGGCTTCTATGCGCTGTCCAATCGGAGGTCCAGCATTGCCAAATATGGCGTCCGAGGTAAATGCTCATGACTCGCCAACTTTACAAGGGGACAAACCCCCACGGGGAACGGACAACCCATCTGAAAAGGGCATGCGGAGAAGACCATTTGTTGCATTTCACTTGCATGTGTTGGAAATTCGTCTTGTTTGGCTGGTTGGGCCCAAAGTCCGAATATGACCCCAGTAGCATCTTGGTTCGGTGGTATATCTACATCAGATCACCATCTGCCGCCTGAGAATGCAGCGAGTCTCCGAACTTGACAAACCATCCGAACAACTGAACTTGTTTACTGGGGATTTTCAGAATTTGTATTCATATTTATGTGAGCCACTGAATATGCACAATGATATACAACAAAACCTGTCCAAACTGTTTGAAGCTTACTGTCCTACAAGTTCTTCGTAAACCCTTTGTAGGAGAGGTGAGAGAAGATGTCAATCTTGAGTAACAAAAATGTTCAAGTTGATTTAGCGTAAACTAAGGAGTCCTTTAACTCCCCTGCTTCAGGACGTTCCCCTTGAGGCCGTTCATTACGCGGACAGATTATCTCTATAGAAATCCATCGTAGTGCTGTTAATGCCACCGGATAAAGCCTCCAGGTGGTATATACCACTCCACAACGCCAAAAACTCCGTTCCCGATCCCAGCACGTAGCTAACCCTTTTCCATGCCCCCCCAAGACATCAGATTCTTGTCTCACTGCAATGCCATGTATCCTTTCACTTGGTACCTCGAGGCTTGGCTTTAGAAGCAGCCTTGTCCTTCTTCTCCTGCTTAGCCTTCTTTCGCTTCTCTTCATTCTTCTCATCCAGCTTTCGCTTGTGTGCTGCCTTCTCAGCATCTGTCTTGGGAACAGGCTTGAAGAAACCCTCTAGTCGAGCTTGCTGAGAGCTCTTGAGATTCTTCTCCAGTCGGGCACCTCCACTGCGAACACGATCCTCCGAGAACCCCTTCTCTGTGACGAGGAACTGAACAAGGCCTTCCATGTCAGGCTTCTCCCACTTGAAATCGCAGTCAGGGTGGTCGGCTTGTCGCACATCGGGCTCGAAAAATAAATCACGAGCATCCTTATAGGGCCAGTCCTCAGGAATAGTATACTTCTTCTTGGGATCTTTCTCAATCGCCTCGACAACCTTCTCCAATGAACCATGCTCACGGATTAGCTTCAGGGCAGTGCTTGGGCCGACCTTGGGAATTGGGTCAAGGTAATCGCAGCCGAGCAGGATACAGAGATCCACAAACTATGCAAGGTTAGGCCAATGTATCAACCAATCTGGGTGTCGCAACATACCTGCTTCCTCTCCATGTTAAGGCCCTCGAGGACCTTCTCTAGGTGAATCTCCTGAATGGGTTCTTTGCGTTGTTCGCTGAAAGTAAGATGGCGCAGTAAAATGGGTGTGTTGAAGCAAAGAGTGTCCATATCTTCACTGGCGGCCGCATACACCTTGCCAGCCTGGGCTAAGACAGCACACTGGGCCTCAGCCTCAGTAGGCGCAATGATGTAAGGAATGCCCATGAGCTTGAGTAGACGCTGGCATTCGGCATTGTGCTCTCGAGTGACACGAACAGTTCGTCGTGAGAACTTCTCGATATCTTCTGCTGTACCAGTCTCCTTAGCCTCCTCGAGGCCTTCGGTAGCTTCCTGTTTGCGCTGGAAACGCTTGGCCAACTCGCCAGACTTGAGTTTAGGTGGTGCACCATCGAAAACGTAGAGGGGCTTGATTCCGTTGTCGACCATGCGCAGAGTACGGTAGAACATGCCCATGAGATGCGATGTTGTCTCGCCGCTCTCGTTCATGAGCTGTTGGCCTTCGGATCGTACGGCGATGAGGAAACTGTAGATACTCATTGAAGCATCCTAATATCATAAGCAACTACTCTTCGTATTGAAATTTCGTACTGAGCTTACAATGGCAACCTTGCGGCCGAACTGGTTCTTGATCTCACCCTCCTTGATCGAATCCGGAGCTTCCTCCTTGATGATCGAAAAGAGTTGCTTAATACCCATCTTTGCAGTTTTTCTCTGGTATGCCGGGGCAAGTTGTAGAAATAAGACTCGGAATGAAGTCGAGATCCAAGTAACAATAAGGAAAGAGAGGAGACTTGATCAATGAGGAAAAAAGAGATGGAGGCGCAAACGAAACGTGAAAGAAGAAGGGACTTTACGCGTGTGGGACGTCATGACGCGCCTGTCGCGACGGAAACTACAGGGATCTTAATTGACCCCACAACGCGATTGGACTAAAGCTTCAGAGCTGCCTGGATCTCTACTGTAGCATTATGTAATGGAGGAACAAAGAGAGACTCTGTAATGTGAATATCATGTTGGATGAGGAAAAGGCCATTGTTTCAGATGGTGTTGGTATTTTATTCGTCCAATGTTCCTAATCAATTCAACATACTCTCTAGGTGCCACAACTACAGCCCTATATAGTAAACTCACTCTCTATCTTACATAACCTCATACTGCTTGAGGCTACCCCTATGTCACAATAGTTAATATTTCGGGGCCACAGATAAATGTATCGACTTCCAATCTCCAACTTAGGTTGCTGCACCCCCCACTGACCTCAAAAGTTCTACACTGTCCTCAAGACAAGCCTCAAGTACTCCGAAGAACCCATCAGTCAGCAGATAACAGGATGCGTCCTGCAAGCTAGAATAGTGCTCAAGGCACTGAGCCTCTTCCAACCCTCCTCTGAAGCGTCGACCAAGCACATAAGTACTTTATCTTGATATACCGCTCGGAATACAGAGCAGTCAAGGATGGGTCTCTCCTTGCGCTCCACCTGGCCGTGCGGAACATGTCACGAAGAAAAGGATCTGACTTCACAAGTTCACAACATGTCAAGCTTGTGTCATGAGAAATGAGCAAAGGGGCACTTCGTATGTCGTGGGGGGTATCGTACAAATCGTCCCCGGCATCTTCATTATATCGTTCTCGACATCTACTCGCAAAGGTCAGTTCCGCAATCTCAATTTTACATCCATGAGACAGCCTCATGTCCTTCTTTGGCCATCCATGCTGTCAAGCGTCTTGTCGATCTCCATGATATCCAACATCTCAAACTCCACATTCCGTCTCGTAAAGTCTTGCGTATCGTCTGCTGCTGCTTCAAGCGTGTCCATAAAGTCAAAGCCGACCGTTCGGCGCGGTGGCTGCAGAGTGGTGTCTGCGTCTTCATCGTAATTTCCAGAGGCAGATCGAAGCCGTAAAGTACCCGGCTTGACAGTGCTCAGGTTGAATAAAGACTTGGCTGGTCGGGTTTCCCTGCCGTGCACGATGATAGCGTCTGACTTGTCTCCCTTTGAAAACAGACGTCGTCTTCGTGAGTTTGCCGCGGCACCCACAATCTTGCCGGGTCCATCCTCTCCTTCTCGAACAACAACAATCCTGGACTCGCCGAGAACAATAACATCGGCAGGAAGACCACCATCTTGGGCGACAATACTGTGATCAGGCTCTATCAACAGACCAACTCCGCAACATCTCTCGCCCAGCAGACCAGTTGCCAAATCCAGGAGCTTGATCATCTTTACCGGTTGCGCTCCGTTGAAAATGTCTCCACCTGTTCCGGCAGCCCTTCGAAGTTGAGAATCCCAGAAGCGCGTGATTCCAGGGATGACGCATACATGTTCGAGGCCACCGACCCACAGAACCACTGTCTCGTCTTGAATGGCGCTACCACTCGATGGCAGAGACAACACTTTGATGCCACCTCGGATAGTAGCCAGGCGGTCAAGTGTGATAGCAGAGCTCAGGGATGCAGTAGCCTGTCGTCGAGTGTGAGGGGTCATAGGGGCGAAGTCTCCAGTGCTGTGCTCCTTGTTCTGGGTCGTCACACTCCTAAGTGAGCTTGTCCCCTCTACGTAGCCAGAAACGCTGAAGGTCGTCAAGGCGGCTCCCTTTACTCCAGGTTGGAGTTTATTTGAGAGAACAGCGCCTGGTGCAGTAGGACTGGCGCCATCAACGTCCCAGATACCCCACATGCCATCGGCAAGGAGGACTAATATGGCGCGGCCGTGTGCTATCCAAGCAGCGTCGATTATTGGTTTCCTTGTCGAAGAAGGGCGAGAAAAGGGCTGATACATAGAGAGAAGCCATGAGCCTTGAATAGGGAAAGGCCCTGTGGCATCTGTGGCGGTGAAAGAGGGTCGCGCAAAGTCATAGATCCGGACACCCTGCAGCGCTGAGACAGCAAGCAGTTGTGTTGTATGTGTAGAGTTGAAGGATATGCTTGTCAGAGGGTTTGGCAAATACTCGGTCTGGAAAGACTCGACAGCTTTGGCGGGCTTGTCACTGGCATCTAGTGGCACATCCCATAACCGGAGCACGCCAGAAGCCTCCCTGCAGTGCGAGGCAACAACGGCTCTGGATTTTGTACCAGGTCGCTCCGTGTCAGTAGGCATGATGAGGTTGATGGCAATCCCCTCACTGTGTCTGTTCTGGCCACCAAGCAGGATGAGCGACTCTCCCCAAGCTCCGGATCCAGCCTTGCCTGCCAGCAGATCGCTCCTGAGCTCTGATCTTGCCTTGCTCTCTGGTGACGGAGGAGTAAGAGGAAGTGTAATGACGTAGATGTCGTTGGTCACGCAAGACACAGCAAATACCATCTTTTCCATCAGGACTTTAGCACCTCCCCATGCAGCATCATCTGCCAGTGTCGGGGTCATAGGCATGACCGCAACTTTCAGGACCGCTGTTCCAAGCGCCAGGTCCAGGGTTTGGACGATCTCCGGAAAGGGAGTATCATGAATCTCATCTTCAAACTGCGGTTTGTCCTCATAGTGAGATGCTGTCTTGGACTTGGCTGGTGGTTCGTCGTCGTCCGAGTCGATGATCATAACCGAGTCGTCTGTAGTTCCATTCTGCTTTTCAGGCTGAGGCGGCGCCTTTTTCGCAGCCTTGAATCGCTTGCCTCCTCGCCATGCGATCGTCACACCGTTTTCGTGACCGTATACGAGGATGGTCGCTCCTTGTGGAGAGTAAACGGGATAGGTTTGAACATCGTTTACCCGTCGCGAAAGGTTATATCTAGAAAATGAGAAAGCGTTCTTTGGGCCGAATATCAGTCGAAAAAGAGGTTCACCTACGTGAATTGTGTGTTTTGCGCCGTGCGGCGGATTCGAGGAGCTGGGATAGAGCTCATGCTGAGTTTGAGTTCGGGCAGCAAGCCCTATAAGAACCTATATGTGTTCTTCTGTGTGAGTTTATGGCTCAGTATTTGGGAATCTGTATTGGTGCTCGTTGTGTATGCGATATGTGTGAAAGTGTTTTGTTTGTGTTTGCTGTTGGTTGATGCTTGCAGGCTGGGAACTTTTCCAACGCGACAAGCATCGCGCCAAGCTAGAGCTTCGATAGTCACGTGGTAGCTTCACTGAACATGCAGGTATTTGCTACTGGACTACCTACCCTGCACAAGGTTGGTAGCCTTCAAGTTACGACTCATATTGTCACCTTGAGGGCAATTCTATCAATTTTGTTTTCAATATGGCGTGAGTATCTGATCTGATGTGAAATATTTTCTGGTGGTATTTTTTTTGTGGTTGTGCCGTGGTCTCACATCTGTGATCCACTTGGCTTTGATCATTTTCAACGAAGAGGTATTGACAATCAAAACTCACGTGAAAAGACCCTCAACATTACCAAGCAACGCCGTCGTAACACAATTCAAAAGTTCCACGAGGTTCCAGGAATTCGTAAACCTTCGTCTGTATTTATCTGTAAAGGTTTAGATCGGGCGCCAGAACCGTGTCTATTCAACGGGGCGTCGCTGTGAATGTATGTATCGTCAAGACGAATCGACAAGTGAGATGGCGAGGCAAAAATCATCTTTTCAGTTACGTACCGAACCTGAGAGCTAGTACCAATACAAAATGACATTCACCATTATCACACAAATCACAGACACATGATGCCAAAGAGCTTGCCCAGGGTATATATATAAGCCTAAAACAGCATCTTGCCTCAGCAGTGATATCAAGTGAAAGACTCAGTCAATGAACCAGCATCTCAAGTCCTAAGTGGTGGTATATGACTATGCATAACCCTACATACAGGCAACACCATGACCACCACGATCATCGGTAAATGATAGGGAAAAGATAACGGTCAAGTGAAAAAGTAAATAAAGCGACGATAGGATATCCCGCACTATCTGCCAACCCCACAATCGTGATATCTCCTCCACGAGGTTGGCATATCTCCCGCGTCCCATTGTATCTATGTGACAAGTCGCCCCATCGCACCCTGACCAATATCCCAAGAGGACTCCTCGCCCCCTTATTTTTAGATTTAACCCTGCCCTACTCAACAAATAGAGGGAGAATTTGTACACAGGAGACACAGGACTCCCAGTCATGAAGAAAAGAAAACAGACGTGCCGATTACACGCGGGTATGATCGCCGCTTGGAAATACCCTTACACGAAGACGACATCCATAGTGAAACGGATCCAGGGAAAGATGGCATCTAAAAAGGGCACTTGCGGCATTATTCCCATCTTCTCCAGTCGTTTCGTTCAAGGCTTAGTTGTGAAAAAGGAGGTAATGAGTGGATGGCGCAGGTGAAGCCGGTGTGCCGTGGAGCGTGATTGATCAAATCCAGTCGTAATTCCGCAGACGCAAATAGTAGAAGAAATGTCTAGTCCTACGCCCAGAAAAGAGTCAAACGCCGCCAGATCGTCGGGAGTGATCGATTGGCAAATACACATGAGCTATCATCCCGAAAACGCCGTAAATGCCGATTGTGAAATAATGATTGAGAAGTAATTGGCTTTGAAGATCCCAGACCGGACACTCGTTCATGCGTTGGTGACCTAAAGATGTATTAGTAAACAGACGTTTTACAGCAATTTTCATCCCGTCAACTTACCCGTAGAATTCTTCGAGAGTAATCTTGGTTATCGGCGATGCTGCCGTCACTGAGTCGTCGGTGAGCCATGACTGGGTCAAGGCGCGAATCAGTCATAGAGATGCTACCGCTGCTGCCGGGGGGCTTGGAGCCGTTGATGAAAGCATTTACAGCCGCGTTCCGACGGTGCTCCTCCTCTATCTCAGCATTGCGTCGGCGACGAACGAAGAAAATAGCACCACCTCCGATAGCAGCAATGACAACCACGCCGACAACCACGCCCGCGGCAATAGCGGCCACGTTGGGGCCATCCTTCTTATCATCTGAAGCGGCTTCTGAAGTAGTAGCGGGGTCCTGAGTTCCTGTTGCAGGAGAAGACTCCTCTGCGGCAGTAGTCTCCGCAGCCTTGGTGGAAGAAGGGGCAGCACTTGTCGTCGTTTCTTCTGGCACATAATTGTCGGGCGCAAGGTCTTCGCCTGAGTTGTAGACTGACCAGTAATTCTTCAGGGCACCACAAGCCGCTTTGCCGTAGCCAGGGCATGGCCAGTTGCATTTGTCGTCGTCAACTTGATCACCCTCCTTGGGATAAACGTCGCCACAGTAGCACTTGGATCCTTGGACACTGAAAACCTTGGAGCTCTTCTTCTTGCAAATATCCCAGCACCAACCACTTGTTGTCTTCACTCCTTCGTAACCAACTGTCAAGTTGCCATTCGACTTCCAGCAGCCTTGAGAGGTCATCTGGTTGAGGACAGGTTCCACGACAGGATCGTTGCTCACTGTTGCGGCATGGACCATTAAGTTAGTGGCAGCCGCAAGGACCATTGTCATGAGTGTTGAGGTCTTCATGATGATCGTTTGTGTATCGGAATTTTGAGCGAAAGTGTAGAAAGAGAATATGAATATGATATGCCGATCGTCGATGCAAACCTCGAATCAGATCAACTGGAGTCGAATTGAGTCAGATCGTATGGTCACTCCTTCAAGCAATAGATCGAATCGAGTCGTCCTTGTCGTCGTGGGCAGAGGCGGCAACACGATGTACCCTTTGTTTAAAGTGAACCAAGGCCACTGAGGGTGGATGGCTTGGTCCAGCAGTGCCGTCGAGTTGTGAAGAGTAGACGGTGATGAAGGGAGTCCTGGGTATCAATCGCGTACGTGGCCGTGGAAGAACTGCTGTGAGGCGGTCGAACAAAGGAAGATCAAAATTGGATGGCCGCGAGTAAAGGAAAAAAGACTCGACGATGAAAAGGAGACGCTGGTCGTGATGGTGATGACCACGATAAACGCTTCACAGATGAGAGAAGAACAAACGCTTTGAAAGTGTGGGGGGAGATGAAAGAGGGACTGGAACGAGCGAGCGGCCGGAGGTAGTGGCTTGTTTTGTTGAAAGACGAGATGGGAGTGAGATGAGCAGGAGAGGAAAGGTAGCGAAGCGAAGCGAGTCAGAAGGCACGGGAAAAGGAAAGGGACCAGACGCTCAGCGAAGGGGAGATCCAGAGCCAAAAGCCAAGCAAGGCCAGGGCCTGAACGGCACCAGCCAGTAACTGCACGAGATGGCGAGACAAAGGACCAGGGGGTGCAGGGGCACCTGCCATGTAGTGGAGTCTTTGTCAGGGATTTAGCAGGGATTTGGCCACCATTTTGGCATCATCTCTCTTGTCGCTGGTGGATTAGCCAAGAAGGTCTCGTTTCTCCTTTTGCACAAAATATGCATAGCATAAGCTCAAATTTCGACCATCAAACTCACTATTAACCGCTAACGTCCGCGAAGACCCGCAAGTGATGCACACCTGAACTCTCTGTCAAGTTAGTGCTCAATTATTCTCATTGGACACGGTCGTTAGTACAACGACTAACGGTAGGGGATTTGCCCGTTTTGTGCATTCTCGGCCAGTTGCGCAAATCATGAATAACAGAGTGCATAATTTGGTGCACACTAACCGCATTTGGCTTGTATATACGGAGCAGCGCCTTCCTTTCGAGTTGCACGACACAAACACGAAACCACACCATCACGGAAACATCTTTCCTCATCTTCCCACCTCGACAGAAGATGTACAAATTCAGACAAAACTGCAGTAAAGATAAGATAAGGTAATCATTGTTATCTTGTGACTTGATGTGAAAGCATCAGATTAAAGCTCTCAATATGAAGGGTTTAGAGGGACAAAGGTTTCAAGAAGTGGCTCCATCGTGACTCGACCATGAACATGAGCGACTTTTGAAGCTCGGTCCCTTCGAGAGGAAGAAAAGTCTTTGACTTCTTTGATGCCGTATTGCATTACAGACGCGCACGACGGTCCAGCCGGTACTCGTTTGTCTCAAACCCCACCACTCCTTCCAACCTTCTCCTGGATTTCATCAAAGCCGACCCCCTGAACACTCACACGCCCCTCGACCTTGCACGGGTTCCATCTACCAGGGGACCACCAGCGACGCTGCGACCGCTACGGCCGCTGAACCCGCCTGCAAGCAAGCCACCTCACCCAATGCCTTCACCTGAAATAAGGAATGTGCTGTCGCCATTGGAACACGCGTTTTACGATAATTCTCACAAGAGTGTTTGACACCGGCTCCGAATTCATGAGAGTCCAATCGCTCTCGATCCTGGATTGTTCCAGCAATGACCACAACAGATGGCTCTTGCATCGATACCCGCGACTTTTTACCATTTGATTTGCATAATCGGCTTTCAACAGGTGCAAAGCTTACTCACAAATGGTTCGTGACCAGTTTGTGGATGATATTCAGGAACAGCATAGTCGCGTACGTATCTCACCCTCCATCTTCCCAAAATGGACTTTATACCGCAGATCTTGGCCATGCTTGGCCTGGTTTCAAGGCACCATCACTGTTAAAGAATTTATCCATTTTAACCACGGCAGTTATTACTCACACACTTTCTTTTGAAGGAACATTGGCAGCGCCAACTGTTTGTTGAGGACGCCGTCTCTGCGCCTAGGAACATTATTATGAGGGACTTGTTCATTCTACTGCCAAGATATATACATACTACTCATCGATGCTAGACAGGCTTATAGCGATTGAGTTGATCGAAGCGGACAACAATCCACCTCCAAGTGGGGGGTATCAAACATTCATTTGTACGTCAATGCACCCCCGCGGCGACACCTAGCTTTTGGTATACATACTTGGTCTGGAAGCTTTCACAAGTCTAATCACATTCTGTGCAAAATCTGTGCAAAATTTGTGCGCTCTTTTAGTGGATTTACTCTCGGCAGGAGGTGCGCGTCAGCTAATTACCTGTGGTCACCACCGTACCGGTCCACGTGTCTTGCAAGGCTTGTTGTTACTGAACGTTGACGGCCCATTCAGAATACGACCTGCAGGTTATTCCTGGAAGGCGCTTAATAAACCTACTCGGTATACTACGATGCAATGGAGTTGAGAGCTGCAAATCAGGCAGAGGGGCAATAGCTCATCTCAAAATAAAGGGATAAGCCAGATCACAGATAAGTCAGCGGTCATTTCGGCGCATCAAAGCCCCCACCACCACAATCAATTTCAAGATCAGGGCATGATAACTTCAAGGCAGCTGATATGCTTGACTGGAGTCGATCAATTATCGCATACAGTGATTATCTTCTTTTGACTAGCAGAGTTGTGTCATTGGACCTGCATTAATACGATCGTGCCTGACCTCGTCCGACCGACAACAACCGCTGTCTCGGTATCCAGCCCTGCAAGGATGATTCCAAGTCGTCCCATCTGAATATATATCTGTAGCGAAATTTTGAATCATCGAGAAACGGAACGACTGTCCTCCTCACTGCATGCATTGTGACGAGAGAATACAGCGGCTACCGAATTGAAACAGCAACTGGAAACGCCGTCTGCTACCACTCCACGTAGCAAAGCAGTCAAGGCGACACCGAAGATTTATTAGCCTCTGCAAGCCAAAATCAAGAATAATTTCCATCGGGTGGAAAGAGTAAGTCTGAAGCTGACGCACAGCAAGTTTGCAACCTCGGAGTCTTGAATGCAAATCGATCTTGTTGAAAAAGACCCTTTCAGCTGAATCGATCCCAACTCCACTGATCTTGAGCTGGCTATTCGGCCCACGGACCATGCAAGCTTGGATTAGGCTTAATTCTATGCCACCAGAAGCGCTAGATAATGCACAATTCCTGTTTTGTGCAGCCTTCCGATAAGATTATCGCTCAGTCCTACACCATCCTCGCATTTCTGGTTGGCACAAATGACTTGGTCCCTACATTAGTTATCGACTTGCCCCTTTTGTCGACGTCCCTAAAAGCCTCTCTTCCTGGTCTGTCCTTGGTCAAATGTCACCTGTGGGTCATATCAACCTCCTTCATAAAAGGGCCGCGAAGCAATTCGCAACACGATTTGCTCCTAGAGCTTCGAGATTGATACGTACTGGACACCAATGCACGAGATCGATGATGAAAGTCTGAAACTCGTCGAGGCAGCGAATGAAATAGCCAAGTTGCAAAACTACCAGGAATTGACTCTGGTCCGGCTTTGAAAAGAAAGCACAATAATTAACGCGATTAAAGCAAGGAACATGGCAGCGGGTCGATTCGCCAACCAGCACCCAACTTATCATAGCTCCAAACACGCTCCAGGGCTCTTCTTGCAAGGCAGACTCTGGCTTTGCCAGTAAGAAGCCGTCAAGGCCCTCTTTGATCTAGGTATGCATCTCTGAACAGGCTTGTCCCTAATTATCCTTCATCCATCCCCATGGCTGCCAAGAGATGTGTTGACCCGTTGCATTGTTGAACCCCCAATTGCTACGAGGATACTCGATGCCAAAACCCCATGGAGATTGATTTTGATCAAGGGACCTGTGGATATTCATCTTGGACAATCGCTGGCATGACATGCTTGACGATGTAACTTCAACGCTTGGTGTTCTGGTTTCGTGCTCCACGATCAATATTCCGAGCCCGAAGATAGGATTTGTTCCAGCCGGTCGGGACTATCGGCTTTTGAAGTCGACGTTGAACCTGTCTAATAAGTCCGACCGTCTCGAGCATACCGAGATGCAGTCGCATTGGCGACTAGATTGACCGCTGACATAGTGAAGCTGATGCCATGCTCACAAACGCTATGGCCTTTTCGGCTGGGAATGCTGAATCTCAAGTGATTAGGCTGGCCGCTGCAGTCTCTTGAGACATTGAGGCGTCACTGGACTCAACGTGGCTTCCGTTCCGAATCATCCGCCAAGACCGTTTTTGTGCCTCGTCGGATGTTTTCTGGTCTCATATTCGGGTGAGAGAAGGTACATAGTCACCTTCGTCATCACCAGGTTTTTACCTGTTGAAGATATCAAGTCCGGACTGAGAATACAGACACAGATATATGACTTCGGAGTATGTATTGAAATATATGTTTGAGAACTATCTGATACAGGAAATGACCAGCGCTGGGGTTAGTGAGACCAACACAAATCGTCCATACATGCATCTTTCATGTGCGGCTTGCATTACACGACATGGAGGGCATAACCTCATAATAAACTCCCCTTTCCTGCACAAATCTATCATTAACCAAGCCGCGTATTTTCACCGTTCGCTGGTATGCGGCCCGTTGATTCCCAGTCTTATCCAACCTGGAGAATGGGAGATTGTCTGATGAGTCTTGGGGGCTATTTTTGGAAGATTCAATCTTAAAGCTCATCAGCTCTTGGCGGCCGCTTTCACCTCCTTCAATCGACTTTCCAATTTCGTGTCTCTGTCTGCACGCGACTGTGATAATGGAGATTGAGTTGACAGCTGCGCCGCTGGTGTTTTTCTTGGTTCCCAAGGTTCCGCCGCTTTGCATTGTTAGTGCGACCACGACCAAGATTTAGAATTCTTCTTCCGGGTCCATTTCCAGCTTTTCGTCGGATCATCGTTCTTAAAAGGACGGGATATCTCTGGGCTTTGCCACCAATGGCACCCACTGCCCGTGCTATCTCCCTGCCCTGCATTCTTTGCCTGGTGGCGGTGGAAACACGAGCTCCGTCATACCAGTCAGTGACAAGTGTCAGAGACATTGTGTCTCATTACCCTGTGGAGTCTTGGCACGATTTCGTGATATCGAGATCATACAAGACAATTGACTCTGTGGATTTCGATTTTCCATAGTTAATTCTCCCTAATCGTCATATTCTCTTCATTTCCTCAATGCTTTCCTCTGTTCCTGTATCAACGGACCAGATGCTCACTCTGGCATAACCCCAAGTCATTCATTTCAGCTTCCCTCTCAACAAGGAGGCCATTGTCAACCGGTCCTTGTTTCAAGGGAGCTGAGCTGACTTGCGCTTGAGCATCTTTCTGTAGCATGGGTTTCGAATTGGTCTGCGGCCTCAGACTCTTCCCTTTGCGTTGTCTGTAGCACCCAAAGATTCTAGACAAGCGTCAGACTCGCGTTTCCGGTCAGTTATAAATAACGATGGCTTAAACACCTACGCGAAAAATATCAGCAGCAGGCCACCAGAAAGCCCTGAGCCTACCCCAGCGCCTATCCTTTGTCGCGAGCTCAAGTCTGCTTTGCGGTTAACAAGAATACCGAGAAAGTCTATCAAGTGATGCACTGACCAGATTCGGTCCCGAGGTTCGGCCCGCCATCACTCTCTGTTGTCGTTGGTTGAGGACCTCCTGCGTTTGTACTCGAAAACCCGCCGTCTGTTCTTGAGGGCTCAATTGTTGGTTCCAAAGTACTAGTCAACGAACCGCTAGAAGTTGTCTCTGTAACGACCGTCGCGGTTGTCCTTGCCGTGGCACAGAAATATGCTTCTGCTGAGAGTTGTGGCCATGTGTAGGTTGCACATGCAGAAAGCGAACCATCGGTGCTGTATCTGCTTTAGCATAGCCTTCTGATCCAGCGTTAATGAGCCTACCATTGAACGGTATTACTGTTTAGTGCTGTGCCTGACTCAATACATGTCGTCGCGATTGCACATCTCTTATCACCGCAGCATCCAGCATAGGCATTGTCGTGGCCATATATGAATAGGAATCCGCATGCTCTAGACGTGCACGAAATTACAAGATCGGAATCTGGACAAGCTCTCTCATCAGTTGATGGCTTGCACGCAATGATGGCAACCCTACCCCATCGACGTACCCGCAAGTTTCTGAGGGCCCCATACTACTGGTTTGTGATGTGACCAGCGCAGCAATACTGAAGCCAAAGGTGAATAGAACAATAGATTTCGACAGGTTTAGGGCACTGATATCATTAGAATGAGCTTCTGTATACTTGAACCGGGTCCTGGCTCAGTTGATGGGCAAAGATGACTCGAAGCTTGCTACAGCAGCCAGCCTTATATGAAATCCGACACTCTGCAACGAGGCTCGGCACTCGGTCTGTCCATTTCAAGCCAGTGACATGAACTATCGAAAATACCTGCGCTGGTCATCTTTTTCATTTCTTGCTATAGGATCTTGGTTGCGCCCAGAATACGCCGCCTTCAGCCGCAGCTGAGTATCATTGGGGGGCCGGTCTTGATAACACTTGAGACAACATCGGGCTGAAGTCAGTGACATTGTTGAGCATTCTGAGATTGAACATCTCAATGGTTTGCTCGTCACAGTCATCACCTAGCATCGGTCAACATGTCCAGTCCCAGCATCAATTGCTCGCAATGGACAGAACTGAACGATTTCAGCGAATACATTCAGGACCTCGACTCTAAAACGCACTTTAATAAGAGCATACTAGAGTCTTGTAAGAGCGAGATATGCAACGCCATCTACGGCACAGGAAATCCTGACATATCTGGCATTGGGGTTTGTCTCAATGATCCTCCATACAAGATGTATTGCAGCTGATATTCCGCAACAGGTTGCTGTTGGATATGTTCTCGAGATCACATTGAGCATATCCCTATCTCTTGCAGTCATAATATTCAAGAGAAGTGGCAAGAATAGCCAAAGGCATGAAGTTGCAGTAGCCGACCTTGAAGCATTTGTCGACTCTGCTGCATATTTTGCCCTGGCACTACAGCTGGCTACGATCGCTGTGCTTGCTCGCAAAGACTATGGTATCAGTACCGCGGACTTGGGCGCTATCGAAGCTCGAATATCCCAATCTGTCGCCGTCATTAGCATGATGCCGCTTCTATACCCCATTGCTCTGTTGGAGCCAATATCAAACACAACGCTAGATTACTGCTCCTCAGTGTAACTGTTGCACTGTCATTCTATCCCTTCTTATCGAGGTGCATTCATGCGTTTGACATAAGCCCCATTGGCGAGGGTAAGGGTTCAGAGGTATCGCCGACAGACTGGAGTGTCGTGGAAGATATGTGCTTTCCCGCCGAGTATAGAGATATTGGAAGATCGACGACTTTCAAATCTTTAAATGGCTTGGAGTTGACTGTATCCCTGATTACATACATATTCACATTCTGGCTCCTTGCTGGCCTGCCTGGCACATGTTACGACCATGACGAGAAGGCAAAGGATGCTAAGGAAGCAGAAGACAAGACCTCTTGGCGCGAGCGAGTCAATAAGTGGTTCGGTGACAGGCCGCTTGTTGCTATTCTTCCTCTTCTTGTGCTTGTTGGGTGGACTATACCACTACTGTGGGTGATCTTCACCCTCAGAAACGTCCAGGAGCAAATGTAGGAGAACATGGGAGAAGAATACGATGGGAATTACTGTGGATTTGGGCAGATTGTGTCTATCATATTGTTTATCCCTGTTGGAGTTGAACTGACATATCGGTCGAGATTCAGTTCAGTACATGCATACAAACTGGATGGATAAGATAGGGGTGAGTCATAAGGTCTATTTCTTGAATCCAAGCTTATACCAAGGTGTTGCATTCCATTCTTTATAGTTGACTGCATGAATCTAATCCAAGAACTCCTTTACTACCCGACATGCATCACAGTATTCCACCCGAGTAACGAATATCTTCCTTCGTGGCGTCGAGACGAAGCGGTGTCAAGCGGTTTGAGATTATTTGAATTGACAGTAAGCATACTTGGCGCCGGTAAGACAATGGTTCGGGACATTTGTACCCTTGGCGTTGCTGGTAACTTCCATGCAGGATTCACTACTCGAAGTGTTAGCTACCAGGTGAAGGGCGTTTACTGTTGCGTGATACATACACCTCCTTTCCAATGGTGCAGAAGCATCTGTTCTCAGTCTTGGCTGAAGAGACTGACGACTTGAGTCCACTCAAGTTGAGTTTGGCCGTCTTCCTGATAGGATAGCAACCGTGCTTGCAGTTGCCCCCAAGGTTCATCTTATCGCAGACCTTCATTTGGCAACACTCAGCAGCGGTAGCCATCTCGGCACCGAAGCCGAGGGCAAAGATGGCGGTGGCAAGAGCGGTGAACTTCATATTAGTTGTTGGAAGTGAAGAGTCTGGGATGAGGAGTTGAGTTGGGGAGTTTGAAGCGAGAATGAAGATGGATGAGTGATGTGACCAACTAGTACAGCGAGAGGACCTCTATATATACTACACAGATTACCATTTAGCCCCTGACTCTGTGTCTTTACGAGACACTTATCGCTGACCGAACTTTCATGTCAGTTCAAGCGTCCCAGCTTCGTCATGGAATACGAGGAGCATGCTTCCCTGGGCATTGACACCACAGGTCTTGGCCAAGAAACGAGCGTAGCAGAGTGGATATGATTAGTAGGTCATGTTCACACCACGCACGACGCATGTATGTTCGAGATCATGTTTTCGTGCTAAGAATAAGCTTAAGCATACTCACTTTAAGGAAATAATGAGGCTGCGTCGTGAGATTTGCCAAGTCAACGTATTGGGAACTCAGACAAGACTCTTCAAGTCCATGAAGCTTTTTGGACATCATCTTGATCACAATGAAAGAACCCCAAGTACTCGGATGCATCGGAGTGATACCTCTTTGCCAAAAGCTGACTCTATACCCATGCAAATGTCTTGGTTAAAGGTCTGTTGGTTGAAGTCGTGAAGAATCAGCAGGGGTTGTCTGGTATCGGTACCTGTACCGAGCGCCTAGATTACTCATTTGTCTCTAGCTCAAGCTGTGATTGGCGTAGCATGGTTAAGCTTGCAATGATTTTCCCTAGCTCCGGAGTCCAGCTGCTGTGCTGGCAGCTGTTGGTGGAAGCTTGAAGAGACCCCTGACTGTGCGAGCCGGAAGTCGCCATTCTCTGTACCTAATAGAAACAAGGAATAACATGCCATGATGTAGTGAACTGAACTGTGAACGTAACCGATTTTAAGTAAGTATTTGACAGATTGGTGTCTATGAGAAGTTTTATAGCTACGCACAGTTCTGTGAAGTCGGAAGACTATTTATTGGACATTAACAAGATCGATTTGAGCCAACGACAAACAGTTCTTTGAGCAGGCCGACACTCAACACCTCAAACCCACATTTCACTTTAGATGGCCTGATAGTGGTCCAGTTGGAGACCTATGTTGGGTGAGCATATGCATACGCAGGGCTCAGAAAGTCAAAGCACGGTGATTTTGAGGTGCTGTTGATCAAAAGTTCCAGAGAAGGACAACACGTTGATAGCAACTGAGACAACTACGAACTGCGATGGGATTCATCAAACCAGAAAGATATGTTACAAAACTACGAAACAGAGACAGAGTTAAAGACTTGAGTAGACTTCTACCTTAATATAGTTATGCTTGTGGGTCTGGTTGTCGAGTGTCAGAGTTAAGAAGAGAGTTACTAGTTGCCATCCTTGAATCAGGCCACCTGCATATAGGCGAAAGGTGCGGCGGAGTATTTTTACTCCAGCACTATGAGTTATTTCTAACAACGGTTAACAGCACTCGTTTCTATCGTCATATAACCAGGTCAAAGCGTTGCAGTTGCATCACCACCGACTGTCCCGGAGCCAACCACGTCCGACCGTTCCGAGATCTATAACATCACACTGTGATGATCCTCTAGCCTTCTCTTAATCAAGCAGACAGAATAATTGCTCTTCACAAGGTAATGAACTTCGTATTCAGAATGTACGGAAAGGTTTGAGGGCTGGGATTCGTCTCCCCAACACGTAAGCCCTCGGACTTGAGATGTGCGGAATACATATGCTCTCGGAGTGACACTTATTATCAACTCTCATGAGTTATGTAATCTTTATGGTCAAACTCACAGCATGGTCGCATAGTCGGCCATGCAATCGCTGGCAGTTGCATTCGTCTTGAATTGAATGTGTAGTTTCCTCTTGTCTCACTCCTTGTAAGTGAGATGGCTGGAGTGCAACGTAGAAGTGTGCCAAAGGGTGACGCCAATAGTATACGGCGGACCCAAAGGTCACGTACAGAGAGATAGAGTGTACGAAGCATTCACTTCGAGCAGGAATGTTGTCTCATAACTTCACATAGATGACACCGGCCAGTCACAGTCTGTGGATATATACTCACCCTCTTCGGAGAGCCACCCTTCAAATATTTTGTATTCAAGATCGCGAAACAAATCGGCGAAAAGTCAACGTTACCACTTACAAAGCGTCCAGTAACCTTGGTAGTGAACTCTGTATAGAGCTGACCTGGAGTTATTTGGACTGCAGCTTCGTAGTGTTTGCAACGATTTTCTGCCACCTTGACTATTCGGGTTTCCAATCGAGTGTAAAAAGCCTACAGCCCGAGTCTAATTCGGAGGTATATATAACTACACTGGTATCTCAAAACCACCTGCATCGACGACATTGAAAGCCCCAGAAGCTCACACTCTATACTATCCAAAGTTGGTGACTTGGGGACCAACAGGAGCGCAGACTGAAGGCTACCTAGATCACACAACATTTAATTAGATCGAAAGTAGAGCATGAGGAGTTTGTATTTGAAGCAATCATTCCACTCAACTTTCAATACAATCATCAATATAAAAGAATTGAGGGAGGAAAGAATTATCGCAGAGGTCGTACGGATATGCTACTACACAAAGTGACCATCAGAACATCACCTTGGGATCCCTTCAATTCCCAGTTCAGTACGATCTGATAATTGGTGATTTAATTTCTGACAATGGTTTAAAACGTGACAAGTGAGTGGCCACGAACACAACAGCGCCGAGACATCGAGGCCTCTCTTTCACGCGTCTTCATTACCTTGATTGGCTGGGATAAAATGTTTGCAGAAGCTTGGACAGCCCGAGGATGATATGCATAATCTCGATGCGAAATTAATAGGCTGGGGTCATGACTAAAGTAGATGGGGAGCCGAGAAGAAGACGATAGCATACTGACAATATGATGTGAATATTATGTGCAAATACTGTCACAGAATATTCAGTCTGAGGTTTCTTTTTCTACCAACCTTAAGTTAACGTCATTGCAGATTCTTGGTCGCCTCTGCATGGGTCGAGTCTACAACCCTGAAAAAAAAAGACCTTGAGCCTGGACCATCTTGGCGCTGGCGTATACACCAGCCTTCCTATTTTCCCCTTTAGACATTCCTCAACGAGGGGAAGCCCCCCGACCGATATTAACGGTTTATTGTTAATTTAGTTTAGCTCCCCTAATTAATCAATGTCAACGCTTTTTTTTATATGAAGATTCCCCTAAAGGAGATATTGCCACAGTATTCCAGACGATCTCGAATACGATAGATATTCCTTCTTTACCGTATCTTTCCTCTCATCTTCTTGTCATGAGACTTTCACTTCGCTTGCACTAATGACAGACGGTAAAAGGTACCACCCCTCCTCTGTCGACGCATGCATCACGCCAGGAACTTGAAGCCGCCGCTGGTATTGATACACCGACTATTGCATTGCATGTAAGTCGGGCTAAGAACCGCGTTTGCAACTTGATCTTCGCAATATCACATCAAATCAAATCGAATAATGGGCTTCTCAAGAGCGAAAGACGACTCCCCGCGATCTTCGAGGTCGCGATTCTCTGCCTCTGATGAGGGACCTCTATCGCCGGATAGCTTCCTAGGGCACTATCCGTGGCCGAGCACAAGCACTGTTGCTCATAAGCGCTATGAAACGCGTCACGTTCCAAGTAAGACGCCACATCTCTTGACTAGAGCTTAAATATACTGACTTTATAGATGATGCGGATAAGGAAAAGCAGATTGAAGCTTTCTATAACGATCTCATCTGGTCGGATCCCTCACATGCAAAGGATGCGCTCAGAACGCAGCAGGGTCCAAGGGCGCCCAAGACCTGTGAATGGATTATGAATGTGCCAGAAGTCAAGAGCTGGCTTCAACCAGAGTCAGAAAACCAGCAAGTGTTATGGCTTTCTGGAACTCAAGGAAGAGGAAAGTCGACATTGGGTGTCTATCTCGCCGAAAGGCTCACAAGTAACTTCGCGACTGATCCCACAAACACCTGCGCGTACTTCTTCTGCGACCCAAATGATTCGCAAAGGAACACGGCTCAGGGTATTCTACGAGGTCTTCTCACTCAGCTCTTTCAAAACCATCCTCACTTCCTCAGCGACAGAATCCGCAGGAGACATGCGCATCGCGGCTCTCGAGTCTTTGAGAAACCTCAAGCACTGTGGAACTTGCTAGTCGAGGTTGCTTTCAGATCTGACCGTCACATCTTCTGCGTCATCGATGGGTTAGATGAGTGCGACGCGGCCTCTCGAACGATTCTGCTGGAGTTGATGGAGCAAACGTTCCATGGCCCAAAACCAGCCGCGAACCTCAACCTCCTCATTCTCAGTCGACCAAGTTCAAAGATTTACGAGTACCTGGGCGAGTTTGTCCACCGAGATCTGGACTCATTCTCCGAGTCAAAGCATGATGTTGAGATCTTCATCAACCAGCGCGTGCGACACATCGCGATCAAGCGAGGATGGTCAGGGACAAGTACCACCCAGGTCAAGCGAGTATTCCAGGCAAAGTCGGAGTACAATTTCCACTGGGTGCGATCGGCCAGCGAGAGTATCTGCAAGCTTCGTTGTGCGGAGGATGCAATCAAGTTCCTCAAAGGATTACCCAATGGCTCGGAATTGCCTGCCCCCAGCGCATCGACAAACCACAAACGCGACAACCTTGAGCACTTGGGATTTGGTAACACAGATGAAGATAGAGAAAAGCACCATGCGCGACTCAAGTCGCCGTTTGTTAGTGCGATACTCACCGGAAGAGTCGAGATGCTGGCGTTTCTTCTCAAAAAGGGCGAGCCTTTGACGCCTTATACCATTCGAGCAGCAGCAAGATGGGGATGTCCTGGAATGCTGGAGAAGATCATGATACTTCGACAAGATGAAATCTCACGCGATCAAGATCTTTCTTGCTCCGCGGCAGAATGTGCAAGCGTTGAGATGATGGATCCTATTTTCGATCACCCCGATTTCAGATGGAGCGACGCAGCCATGATCGGAGCGATAAGGAATGAACGACATGGACTCCAAATACTCAGGTTACTATTTGAACTCCACGGGGATGACATCGAACTTGACGAGTGGATGATGGAGAGTATCGCGAGCATATGCCACCCCAGGACTATGGATTACCTGCTCACACAGCATGGAACACGGATTGAAATCACACCGACCGTTGCCGAGAAGGCTATCGAGAATCGTCAGGGTCCAGCCATGCTTAGAGTTCTTCTTAAGCACCGGGCACATGAGGGCTTTGTCGATGAGAAGCTCATGACACTAGCTCTTGCCAACACCCGATGCCGACCTGACTTTATGGCCATATTTCTCGAAATGCCAGCATCCCAAGTCCAATTCACGAAACAAGTCGTCCTAGCAGCGATAGCTTCACCACAGAAAGACACCGACGACTGGGCCCCTGAAGTTCTCGAGATGCTTCTTGCCAACCGTGCTGCTGACGTTGACATCGACGAGGAGATTGTCATCGAGACATTATGGGAGCTTGGCTTTCCTGGCTTGCAAGTTCTCTTCGAGCACAAAGATG